AAGCAGAGGTGCCAGGGCTATGAACTGCCAAGCCTAGAGGTGCCAGGACTCAGCCCTGCACAAAGTAAGCACTGGCCTCACCTCAGGGAGGAAGATGTCTCCCAGGCACACTGCGGGCATCCCTTCCTAGACACCCTGAAGTGGTCTTTTTGGAGCCCACACATGCACACTGAGGCAGCTTTCCATGCAACTAGGGGTCAATACAGAGTAAGCTTCCTTCAGCCTCTCCACAATGAAGTGGCCTCACACATCCCCTATGCACTGCAGGGATCTCACACTCCCCATCCTGAGGAAATGGCACCTTGCCCTGCTAGGCATAAATACACACAAAGGGTCTCATTCTCACACAGGCAGTGATGGGGTCTCCCCTCCACACCCATATTGAGGTGTGGGGAGGCTCTAGATGGGTGAGATCTCTCACAAGAAGGGAGAATGTGAATGAAGTTGTTCCCCTCCCCAGTGATGGGGAAACCTTGACCTGGTAAGTAGTGTCTCTCACAGGCAGTCAGTGAAACCTGGTGCAACAGGTCAGATCACTGCTTTGGTCAGGTCAAATAGCTCTCATGTCAGTGAATATGGACCATTTAGTTAGCAATGGATTAATCAGGGAATACATCCGAAGAAGTGGGTTGTAGCCCACGAAAGCTTATGCTCTAATATATTTGTTAGTCTCTAAGGTGCCACAAGTACTCCTGTTCTTTTTGCGGATACAGACTAACACGGCTGCTACTCTGAAACCTGTCAGGGAATACTGTACAGTACCACTGGTCTGTGCATATATACTGATAGCCCCAGGCTCCCAAATCCTGAAGACTCACTGACTCCCATTTATTCAGCTAATTGCAATCATTTCCCTTGGGGTTTATTAGATTACATGCCACCCCACATTGCTATCCTTTGCTGTTAGGATAAAACTCCACACCAAAGCAAGATCCCAGCTCTGATATTCAGATGTCAGGAGTTGCATACGTATAGAAAGATCAGAATATTAGTCAAGATCCACCATGCAGAACTGAAAGCAGAATTTTGTTCTCACTGTGTAATTCCTCAGTGTATGCTCAGTGTTTCCAGCCATTTGATAGCATTGTCATCATCCAGGTGAAGAGCTGGTAGCCCACTGTCAAAGTAAGTCAGCGGGCACTCATAAAGGATATGTGACATAGTCTGTATTGGACCTCATCTACATTGCAGGTTGTTAGAGAAACCCTATTTGAATAGATTGGACATACAATTGCTCTGTCCTGTTTGAAACCGATTCAGGGATGACCACAGGTGCCCTGGCAGGTCAAAACCTGGTGGACAGATAGTTGGATCGGTGACAAGAGAGTGATTAAAAACTGTCATAGCTGTTGTCATTACACCAAGCAAATTCCACTGTCATGTCCTGTGGTGGCATAAGTGACCATAAAGGACATCTAGAAGACACACGAACTGGCAGGTGGTTGAAGAGGTCTGAGTACAGAGGCACATCTCATTTCTCACAGCTCTTGACCAGGAGCATGATGGAAGCCCCTTCATGGCAAATATAGGGCAGTAATCAGCTGTCACTGTGTAATTTGGATAATTTCAATCTGCCTTCTTAAAATTAACCCTGTACTCTAGTTTTAATTAGGCTCAGTCTATTTCACATATCCAAAACTATTGTGTAGTTAGCGTGTGCTCTTAGACAGCTGCAGCACCCAGCCACAGAAGTGGTTGTATTTCTGTGGAGGGTGAAATAAGATTTTAGAGAGTACTGCTTTTGATCCACATATGCAGCTCTCACTGACACCAACTGAAATGGTGAATACAGCTCAATACACCAGTTGCAATGCTTTAAAAAAAGGTATTCTCAGGCCTCAGTTCTTATAGCTACTGCTTAAGATATTTTTTTTAATGACATCAAAAACAAAAATGTTTAAAACTGTCATCATTTAAGATGAACCAGACAACTTCAGGTATCACTGACTCTGTCTCTTTTAAGTGTTTCTAACTTAGTAATAGGGAATGGTAAGATTTTTTTTTATTTATATTTTCTGATGTGCAAAAATACATCTAATACTACTTTACACTTGTATGTATTATCTCAATGATTATTATAAAATGCTTCATTTTTTACTATTAGGATACATAAACTAAGCCAGGATAGGGTGGTTAAGCGACTTGCCCAAAATGACAGGCAAACCAGTCGTAGAAGCTGGAAAGGAACCCTGGCATCCTATTATATCTATTCCCAAACAAAAGACATTGTTTAATGTTAGTTAAGGTTGTCTTCACCAATAAACTAAACCATAAAAAAAAGTTAAGAAATACAAAGGTAAGGATTAAAAGGTTGCTAAGTCAAACACTAAAAAATGTCAGAATGAATGGTACCTGTGCAACTTTATTTCAGCCCCCTTGTGTATATGCAGAATACTCCAGCCTTGACTTTTCTGCTACAGTTTGACTTGGCAATTTTTTAATCCTTTTTCCGTTCTTCATTTTGTATTTTCTAATTTGTTATGGTTTAGTTTATTGATGAGAGCAAACTTAACTAACATTAAACGAAGATTTTGGCTGTAAGTTTCTTTATTTTTTTCATAGAAATTTTTTTTAATATGTGCTATTTAAATCAAACATTTATTTAATGTGTTACGTTTTCACAGCAGTCGAAAAATAAGATTTACTGCAGCTTCTAGCTAGGGACTCAACTCTAATCTCTCTCTTTTTTAAAAAAGATAAATATTCAGAAAGTCATAGCCTCCAGTTTGTGAAAAAATATAAACCATGAAATGGAGATGGAATTTTGTATCTTATTTTCATGTAACTTTCTTTTTTCTTAAGGAAAGTAACAGTTACCCTTTGAAAAGAAACAGTGTGACTTACCTCTATACAAACCCAAAGGAGCTCATGCAAACAGTTTGCTTTCCTTCCAACTCCTCCTGGGAATCTTTTTGTATTAATGTTATGGGAGTCTGAGGTAAATCAGTTATCCAAGGCAGCCATTGCCATGACAATCAAGGCAACAGTGATTCTCATCAAGTATATGAATAAAGTAGAGGGAGGAATAATGAGTGGCTCATTGTCTCTGAAGTCACTGCTAGGGCTCAGACAGCAGCAAATGTGCAGGGGGGGGGAGGAAATCAGGCTTTTCTGGTGTTCTAGTTTCCTCAAACTCCAACAACATGCAAATAGAAAACACACATTGGAGATCATTCCACACATTAATTAGTGGCTGAAATTTGGTTCAAATTCCCGATGGCATGTTTCCAAAAAAGGGTTCAGAAAAAAAGATGAGACACTGAGATGCAATGTAAAACGGAAAATTCTGATGCACCCTAACTGTGGTCTCACTACTGCAAGACCGTAATACCCCTCTTCTAATTATTAAAAATTCTCCCTACTTAGAACAGAAATTCCACTAACATGCGCCAGCACAATCTTCTGATCCTTCAATATTGTTTTCTTTACTGGACTTCAAGGTTCAGTCCTTGACTTTTTCATCAAGTCTTTTAAAGACTCATACAATTAAAGCCATTTTCATTTAAACTTCATGAACACCAATAATTTAAAGAAAGAACTGGTTATTTGCTTTGATGTTTAAATCATTGAGTAATATCCATCAAAGTTAATCAGAAGTCCTTATTTAGCATGTTTTATTGGGTTCATAGATGACAAGTGTCCTGGGGCTTTTTGTAATTTGTGTATTTATAGTGGGGGGGAACATACACCTCTACCTCGATATAACGCAACCTGATATAACGCGAATTCTGATATAACACGGTAAAGCAGTGCTCTGGGGGGGGGCGGGGAGGGGGGGCTGCACACTCCGGTGGATCAAAGCAAGTTCGATATAACGCAGTTTCACCTATAACACGGTAAGATTTTTTTGGCTCCCAAGGACAGCATTATATCGAGGTAGAGGTGTACTTTAATATATTTTCTGATTACAAAATGGTGGACTTTTTTGCCCCTCGGATTTGTCTGGAACAACTGCTTATCCTCCTCTAAATCTGACTAATCATAGATTCAGAGATAAAGGTATATTTAGATTCCCCACCTCCCTTTTACATAGGAGCTATAGGACACTCCATTCTATAGGAATAAAGAGTTTGCAATATTAGATTAGTATTTTGGTCCATCAAAAACAGCATTCTACAAGCAAAACTATTTAATCCCTAATGTTTCAGAGCAATACACACACAGCTAAACACTTACACACAAGTAACTTTATTCACATGCATAAACGTTTGCAGGATCCCACATATTACACTTAAACAATACTGTAAATTTAGGACAGCAGGAGAAGAGAAAAAAAATCCTTCATGCTAAATTGTTTTAATCTATGTTTCAAATCTGATTTTTCCTCAATGATATAACAACTCCCAATAGAGCAAAGATATTGATCAATTACTCTTTTGTAATGCTGTCATTTACTCTTTGCTCTTACATTTGTTTAAGCTTCAGAATGACAAAGTTTTTTTCTCCATGGCACATTAAGTAAAAACCTACATGAAAGATTACTAATTAATAGAATAAAGATTGCTTGCAACCTAACACAATTCTTTTATTAAAAACAACACCTGGAGGAGAGAGACAAAAAAAACAACCCATCAGCACGGAGGGGGATGGGGAAAGGGAAGGTCACAGGAGGAGGTAGTGTCCCAGGATGATTAACGATTTGGGTATGTCCAGGGATCATGTCCAACCTTCTCCTTTGGAGTACAGTCAGCGGGTACTCTACTTCAGCAGGGCTAAACTGCAGAGGGATGGGTGTTGTGTGCAGTGGGTACTGGAGTCCGCAGTGCTGGACTGTGACGGGTGAGGAGTGGAATGCCTCGGGTACAGACTGGAGCCAGGAGATTGATAAGAGTGTGTTGGCGGTGTCTGGGGGGTGCATGGGAAAGAGTTTTGCGACAGCAGCTGTAGGGGAGGGCGCGCGCAGAGCTGCTCGGTTTGAAGAGCTAGTATCGCCTGGAATATGTCTTCTTGGTGCTCCATAACGTTTAAGAGCTGCTCTGTGGCTTCATTCTGGCACACCGCATTCTCCTTTAGGTCCCTCTTCTCGCTGCCCTGCCACTCCTTCAATTCCTGTTTTTCGGCCACGGAGTGCATCATAACCTCACGCAGAAAGTCCTCCTTAGTTCTTCATGGCCACTTTCTAATTCTGCACAGCCATTCAGCCGGCGATAAAGAGGGAGGCTGGGCTCTCAAGGTCATATCTGAAGCCAAAACACATTTTACAGAATTTGTGTTTGCAGCACACAGATCCACAGCCAGTATTCACATACTGGTCACTAACTGGCTGTCCCCAGGCAAGCACACATGAGCCACAAGACCCCCAAAATGGTGAGTAGCCACAGGGGCAGGGTAAATCAGTGTTCCTAGACCCTACTGTCCACTGGGCATGTGGCTCTTGGGGAGAGCCAATACTGTAGTGGGGGCTTGATAATTATTCCTGTCCCCACATTTTCCACAGGCTATGTTTATTATGGAAGATATCTCACTGCTGAGGGTTGTAGAACCAATGTGAATGAAATTGTTTTTAGTTATTCACTGTACCATTGTAACTTCTGTTCACCATTTCATTACACTTGCCATTTTGCCTACATTGTAACTTTCATTACACTTGCCATTTTTCCTACATTGTAACTTCTGTGCCATATTGTAATTCAAACCCCATTTTAAAACACTTACTCCATTTTGTAAGGGCTTGCTGCAACCTTCATTGTTGCAAACCCTGCTGTAATTTTATTAGTCTAGTTGAGATGTGTGAATGAGGGATGCATGGGTGATAGAATCAACCTCCAGCACCAGCCCGTCCTGATGAGATAAAGTTCAAATACTAACGGCTGAAGAACTAGACAACAGCCCTAACTCAAGCAAGAAGCATCCACCCTAAAAAGAAACAACAGAAGGAAGATCAAAGCCAGGTCCCAGGCTGACAGTCACGCCTGCAATTGACGGGTGATCACCAAACCCAGAGGCGGCGTGACACAGCGAGACCTAGGAACTTTGAATCCAAACTAAACTCCTATAAAAAAGGAAGGGTGAGATGAGAGACTTTGGGTAACGTTCTGCTATCAACATCAAGGAGCATCGGTGCGCGCCCGACAGAGACCCGGCTCCTCCTCGTGCTCAGCTTTCCTGGCCAGTTAGCTGTCACGAGCTACGATCCCAAGCTGCGAACTCAAACTACAATCAGGACTGGTAACTATCCAGCAGCTGCAGAACATTTTGGGGTGTGTGTGTGTGTGTGTGTGTGTGTGTAAGCATTGAGGTATTTGCTAATAGTTACAGATTAATAATAAATGTGGCATCTTTGCCTTGACCCCTAAAACGATCCTGTATAAGTTTGTGGGACAACAGGGTGAGCAGGGAATCAAGAGAGGGTCTTCTCCAAGACTGTGGCTTCTGCCCTGGCCCTTATGTGGCTCGCCTGTGTGCAGCAAGGGTCCCCCCGCTCCCCGATAATGGCAGAGTGGCACGGGAAAGTTACCGTTAATGGGGCAAGAAACAAAGCAGCTCTGCCAAAGGACCTGCAGCAGTGGATTGCCCAGTATCTCCATTAGAGTTTCCTGGAGATTTCTGAGGCAGATTCCTGTGAAGTGAGGGAGTCAGTCAATCAGCCTGTTCCGCTGCTCAGACTAAGCATGTGGTGGTTCGCACATCATACAGACACAAGCCTGCTTTATGAACCCTCCTGCCCCCAACAACTCACTTCAGAGATTCCCAAAATCAAATCCACTTACCAGGGGCCTCCTCTCCTGTTTATGCTTCGCCAAGATCCAACAGCTGTGACTGGCTATCCTCCTCCAGGGTAGAAAAGAGCTCCTGGCTGCATGCATCTCTGACCTCCGAGTCGTACTCTGCCTCTGGGTCCCCCTCTTCTTCCCCCTTCACATCCGCATCCAAGATTTCCTCCTCCTGGCTTGGTCCACTCTCGACAGGCACACGAGCCATCGAAGTATCCACAGTGGCCTTTGCAGTGGAGGTGGGGTCACCACTGAGTATTGCGTCCAGCTCTTTGTAGAACCGGCAGCTCGTGGGCACAGCACCGGAGTGGCAGTTTGACTCCCGCACCTTGTGGTAGGCGTTCAGTAGCTCCTTCACTTTGACCCTGCACTGCAGTGTCCTGGTCATGGCCCCTTTCTGTCATGCATTGTGAAATCTGTCCGTAGGTATCATAATTCCTATGGCTGGAGCACAGCTGGGACTGGACAGCCTCCTCTCCCCAAATGCTGATGAGGTCCAGCAGCTCGGCATTGCTCCAAGCTGGGGATCGCTTGGTGCGTGGAACAGGCATGGCTACCTGGAAAGATGTGCTGAGACCACTGTACGCATCACTGAGCAGACAGGAAGGGGACTTTCAAAATTCCAAAGGAATTTACGGAGTGGGGATGACGGTTGGTCACCTGAGGGCCAGGCAGTAGAGTTCAAACCAATGACCAGAGAGGCAAGAACAGGCATTGTGGGACACCTCCCAGAGGCCAAATACAGCTCTGTAATTGACCATGGTGTCTACACTGGCACCGCAGTGCTGTACCTCCGGCGCAGAAAGCTGTACACCTCTCGTCAGGGTGGGTTTTTTACAGCGCTGCAACTATGCAGTTTTTGCACACTAAGTGGCTTGGCAGTGTGTACACCTCAGGAGTTACAACGCAGAAAACTGCTTTACTGCTAAGAAACTTGCCAGTGTAGACAATGCCATATATGGAACTGTCATTTGTATTCAATCAACACAGTAGTTGCCCATCAATTCCCATTTTAATTGTAAAGGAGTATTTTTGCAATCATCTTCTGCAATTGAATTTACACAGACTAATTCTCAGCTGGTATAAATCAACACAGCTTCACTTGCATAAGTGGAACTACACCAATTTACATTAGATGAGGCTCTGACCCATAAGCTCACCGTGAATACCACACAGCTAGGCAAGTTTTGTCTCTGGCTTTAAGTATAAAATATATATTGTTCATATTGCATCGTTCTCCCACATTTTTTAATTAATCATTCAGAACAAGCAGCAATTGAAGGGTCCAATCCTGCTTTCTTTAAACAACCAGAATCCTCGCTGAAGTCACAGGAGTTAAGTGCAAAAGGAATGCAGGACTGGGTGGAAGCAGTGTCGTATCAAATTGGTGAAGCTATAATGTTGCTGCTTCTTAAATTTCAACTCTTTGATTTAAAAATAATTTGGATGCCCTTGGCCCTGTATTGAAATATTTCAAGTCCGCTTTCTCCTGAATTTATCTCATGCGTTTATTTAATCCAGAAAAATGCAAATATTTAAAGATTTAAAAAAAGTTTATTTTGCAGTATATTTAACGAAAGGGGCAAGACTGGTGAAAATGAAATAAAGTACAAAAAATAAATACACTTCATAATAATGACATTACATTCCACAAAAATAAAGTGAATTGAAAATTAAATATGTATAAATAAATACAAAATATATCAAATTACAAAAAAATTCTGGCACTTGTCAAGAAGGCCTTATGAAAGTTAAAAAAATTTTGCTATGATATTTTAGTACACAAACTTTGAAACATTCTTAAAGTAAAAAAGGTTTAGTTAAGAAACCTGAACAAAAGTTGAACATTCATTTTTTAAATATTTAGACTAAGCCTACTTTTTATGTATTGCCTCAAATGCCAATTAACAGTACAGAAAACATCTACAATCAATTTTAGCACTAACATACAACAGGAAGTAAGCTAGTCTAACGTTACCACCTGCAAGGTAGTCTAGAATTCTTAATAAAATATGATGCATTTCACTTGTCATTCTAACGTTGTTATTCCTGAAATGTTTTCCTCTAAAAGACTAACAGTAGAGTAATGCAAAATTTAAGAACAAAAATAAAGTTTTGAAAATGACTAGGAATCCAAGAAATTCAGATTATCATAATAAATCTTTGTATTATGGTGGGAAACTAAAGAATAATAGTGTTTAAACAGAGAAGTGCAGGTCTTCAGCTGGTGTAAATTAACACCAGCTGAGGATCTGCCTCAGAGCCTTCAAATAGGACCACAGTACACAACCACTGAGTACTCTGTTACTCCTCTAAATATTTCTTCATATTAGTATTGCCTCTTTTTCAAGTACATGTCTGGCTCAGTTTAAAATACTGCATGATAAGTAACATTTGCTTATAATAATGCAACAAAAGGTACAGGATAAGGTACTGATTTGTAGATGCAAACCATAACTTGTAGGTTTAAGGCCATCCCCAAACAAGTTCTGTTAATTCATACATGCATTTTTGTATTAAGGCATTTTTCCTTCCACCTATTTAATTTTTATATTGAGATATTTAATGAATATTGATAATATTTTGGGTCAAGTCTGCTGTTATACCAATGTCCACCTGGATTAACTCCACCAAAGTTAAGAGTTATAGCAAATTTATACTAGTGAAACAGTAAAATTTGACATTTTCATTAAATACGTACCCTTTATTTTGTTTAAACAGTCCTCCTCTCTACCACCCTTAAAGCTGTGGGGATACAGAAGTATGCTATTGACTGAATAATACCTGCCTTTAAGGATGGATATACACAGGGGCAAGATTTTCTCTATTTTATTTGAAAACCAAGGAAAGATTCAAAGAAGCTCATTATCAAGATTAAAATTACTAAGCAGCCTCTTTTTAAAGAAGCATATTCATACATAATGGCTGAAATAGCCAAAAAGACAGGGGCAAACAGGAGCATGTGTTTTGGAGGTTAAGTCTTGCAAAGTTTTAGGGACTCAGAACATGGAAGCATGGCTTCAGTGCTTGGATCTGTTACTGATGACAGTATTATTTTTTATAAAAAACTGTTCCAAGTTACTTGTTTAGACAGTAAAGTAGTTCTAGGAATGTCAAAAATAAAACCTTAAGACACACAATGGTGTGAAACAGTCATCTGTATGATTGCTGAGGACAATTAAAGTCTTTCCTTCTGGAACTCTTGTACAGTGTCATAGAATTGCTACATCTTAATTATACTTCATCTTGATCAAAATGTAGTTTGGAATTAGAAAATGCAGTGAACAGTATGGAGGAAAAATTGCCTGGAATGTTTCATCATAGTGGCCTAAATTCACCACCCGTGAGAACAGGTGGGACTTCATTCATGTAAATAGAATTGCACATTTATGCCAGCAATTAACTCAGATCCATGTCTGCAAACAGTCAACAGAAATGAGTGTAACAATATCAGTCATTAGTATTTAAATTGAGAGGTTAGCACACTCATATGTAATGATACACCCAGCGATGCTGCTCTCAAACAAATACACAGAGGAAAAACGCACAGTATTGTTACAGTTGAATAAATTATCTTTTCTACTTCTCTAATTTTATGGTAAAAGGCTAAAATATGTACACATAGGAAATCAGTTATACAGACTAATGTGTATGAACTGCAATTGTAAATATATTTCCTATAGTACAAAAAAGTGCATGACATATACAAGAATAAGTCAGAGATGGCAAAAAGATAGAAATAAACAATGTTGCACTATATTCTTCTCTACAGCAGAGCATTTTGAATGTGGACATATGTATGCAGTAATCTGAATACCTAACAGGTTTGTAACATGCAATTTGTTTTCATGAGTATAAGAACTGAACTTATTTGTAGCCCTCTCCATTACTTTAACATCATTCCATAAAAACCTACTGTATGTCCTTAAAATATGCAAAATATGTTAAATGTGTACATTTGTCAATTCACAGCATACATATAGGAGATGCAAGATCTGAACCAATGCTGAAGAGACTATTGCATTAAAATAGCTTTTTTTTTTTTTTTATCCGAGCGAGTGCTGTCGTCTTAAATTGTCACAACATTTGGCTTCTTTCTTTGGATTCTTCCTGCATATACTCCTAAAAATAAAGCAGAAACATAAAGTTAACATTCTGTGATTGTGACTGTTCTTTTTATAAAAGAATTGTCCAATAAAAACCCAAAATTTTAAAGACAGGAATACACAAACTTGTTCAAATATGCTTTTAAATAGATGTATTTAAAAATTAATATTTTCATAATTTATTCTCTCTCTCAAATACCTTAAAATGTATGAATAAAACAGGTTATTCGAGTTGTAAAAAGGCTTGTAAATAACTATACATTATAGCATTTTCTTCCTCAGTAAGTGTTCCCCTTGCTTTCCTGCTACTCCAAAACACCTATAACTGCAATATATAAATTTTAAAAAGATTAGAAAACTTGAAATGATGATGGTTTCTATATTGTACTATAACACTTGATTACATAAAATTAGTTAAGCATTTTAAGCTACTATGGATCATTTAACTATTCTAAACTGCCTAACTCTTCACTATTATACAATGAATATCTACCATCATTTTAATACATTACATCCCTATAAGGCAAATATAAAAGAAACTCATTCCTCCTCACCACCCCAACTCCCACCCTCAAAGGCAGAAGAATCTTAAGAACCACCCAAGAAAGACAGACTGAGCAAGAACAATGCAAAGCATAAATACACAACCTAAATACATTAGCGTTTTAAATTTTAATTGTAGTATTTCAGTAAGTTATTTATGGGCCTGATCTTCCCCACCCCCAAATATCCATGCACAGAGGAAACCCTCTGCATGTAAAAGGGAACGGGGGTTCAGACCCTCCACAGCATCCCTTTCTCTCCACCCCATGGAGTCCACACAGGGTGAGGAGTGAAGCCTGAGCAGGTCAGAGGGAAGCAGTTGGTAGACCAGGAGCAAGGTGCACATTCTTCTCCCAATGGCTCTATTTTAGTTTCCACAAATCAACTCTCCCTTCAACCCCACTTTCACTAAGACCGCTGCGGACGAGTTGTCATCCTGGTAGCACAGCTCCAATGGAGATGAGGGAGGGGATGGAAAAATAGAGCACCTTCATGAAGATGGCCCTGGCTTCCTGCAACATCATCCAGTTTATTTCAAGGGGGTGAGGACGCAAACCCTCCTCTCTCCGCCACCAAAACAAGAGAAGGAACTCTGAGGAGATCCTCTTGGAGATTTCCTCCCCAAAGCTCCTCTAACAGGTTTTACTATAGGAACAGGTGAGGTGGAAATACACTAAGAGGGTATGTTTTCCCTTTAGCTCTAGTGTATCTAGCAAAACTACCTGAGGTGGTACATCCATGTCAAGAAGGAGGCTATAGACCTAAACAGACTAGAACAAAGATAGGGAAAATATACAAGTCAGAGAATACTCAAATCCTAATAAAATTGAACTGTCTTTCAGGAGATAATTTATTACAGGTCTCTGAGGTGAAATTCGCAACCAGAATTTTAAGTTCTCGTGTTCTTGGGTTTTTTTCCCCTCTCTCTCATATATATATCTAAAGATACAGCTAAGGGTAACATAAAATCCCTCTTTTACCTGTAAGGGGTTAAGAAGCTCAAATAACCTAGTTGGCACTTGACCAGAAGGACCAATGGGGAAAGAAGATACTTTCAAACCGGGGGGGGGGGGGGGAGAGGGGGGAGGGAAGCTTTGTGCTTTCTGTGTGTTCCCTCTTGAGACAAAAGAGAGAGACCATGCAGGTAATCCAACTCCTACTGAAATGATACATCTAAAATTACAGAAATTGTAAGTAATAGCAAGGAAATGCATTAGATTATCTTTTGTTTTAGCTTGTGAATTTTCCCTATGCTAAGAGGGAGGTTTATTCTTGTTTTGTAACTTTAAAGTTAAGCCTAGAGGGGAATCTTCTGTGTTTTAAGTCTTTTTATTACCGTGTAAAATTACCTTCCATCCTGATTTTACAGAGGTGCTTCTTTTATTATAAAAAAGTAAAGTTCTTCTTTTAAGAACCTGATTGGTTTTTAGTGTCCTAAAAACCCAAGGGTCTGGTCTGTGCTCACTTTGTTAACCTATCTGGTTGGTATATTATTCTCAAGCCTCCCCAGGAAAGGGGGTGAAGAGGCTTGGGGGGATAGGGATCCAAGTGGCCCCTCCCTGAATGTTAGTTTAAATCACTTGGTGGTGGCAGCAATACCATCCAAGGACAAGGAAAGGAATTTGTGCCTTGGGGAAGTTTTTAACCTAAGATGGTAGAATATAAGCTTAGGGGGTCTTTCATGCGGGTCTCCACATCAGTACCCCAGAGTTCAGAGTGGGGCGGGAACCCTGACAAAAAGCCATCAAACAGAGTCCTTCTTACACTAAGGATCTGAGTCACATTTTGGCTTATGCCTCTGCAAAGGGAGATATCTCAATTCCGTGAATCTGGAAGAATTCCATCATGCTGGGAATAAGCATGTTTCAAGATTAACGGCTCAGTTGTTGCAAGCTGCTGGGCAAAGGGCTAGACCTCAACATTTTCCAGACATCTGTGTAGCAAAATATGCACAATGCTCAGCAATGAGCTGAAAGGGTGGGAAGGGGAGTGGAGAAAGGCCAGGTCTTAGGTACTTGCACGCAATCCACTGTATAGGATGATGTGAGTAGATGCCATTTTTAGTATGTTCTGTTACTCCGACTGGCAGCCAGGAGAAGTGGGTACTTATAGGTGCTTAAGAACTGCACTTAGAAGAAACACAGCAAGGCAGCTTTGGAAATTCTAAAGGTCTTACCACATCAGTACCTTGTCACAAAAATGTTCTTGCCGACCCAGCAACATGCAATACCTGCACCCCTCAGCTTACCCATGGTCCAATAAGATGAAGTAACAGGGCTGATGAGCATGGTGCCTTATCGGTGCCTCAACACTACTCTCTCAACCCTCATGTGCACACTACATGGATCAAAGCCTACATTCAGGAAATAAACTGACAGTTTTGACTATATTCACCAATGATCTGGATTTTACCTTTAAAAAACAAAAAGCAGTCTTATTTCCCATTAAAATCAATTTACACAACAATTAATAGCCATGAGTGTATGTGAGAGAGAAACAGAGCATATAGAAAGATTTTACTTATCCTTGTGGAAAAGGATTACAGAATTCAGTAAGAATGAAACAAATAGGGCTATATAGAAATTTAGTACGAGTCCACAGAAATTTATTACAAATTCATCTTTTTATAGTTTAACCCTGTATAGAATTCAAGGGATATATATAAGAGATACAATTCTATATTAACGTCTGTGTATGTGATAGTTAGAGAACTGCAAAAACAAAACTATAAAAAGTTTCTCCTTTTCTAGTAATTTCTCTAGGACATTTCTTTAAGGTTTTGGCTTTTAGTTTATACTCCTACATATTTGATGAAAAAAGTAGAAAGCTATTTATTGTTTCTCTGCTGTCAAGTGTACCAGCCATGTTCAGCAGAAGTGCAACTCTAGATTTCAAAACATGCCCCGTATGTTTAGATGTTCCAGTTTAAAAAACAAAACAAAAAAAACCCAACCCTTTCTCTTAACCAAGATAGAAGTGGGCACGTAGATCCAGAATTAGAGGAGTTAAACTCACTACCAAAAGCCATAGGCACTTAATTTGAAATTGAGTTTTGTTCCAAAGCTCAATATTAAAGGCAAAAGAAGGACACAACAAAAACAGAAGTGTTCAATTAGTGGTCCTAAATGAAAAATTATTGTGTGTACTAGAGGGGAGAAGATATTCAATCAATGGTTGTAATTAAGTGAGGAAGACCAAGCTTTGGAGATGGAATTTCAAATGAAAGTCACACACACACACAAAGAGGAGGAAAGAGTAGATGGGCTGGTACATGAGCATTTCATTTCTAGTGATATGCATTCAAGTTCTGATTGGGTCAGAAGTAAGATTAAGTCTGATTGCCACATCCTAGCCCCAACAAAGCCACCACATCATTTTCAGTCTGTGCTTAAGGAATGTCAAAAACTAAAACAGCAGGGATGTTGTAGGTCAGTACTGACATGCACTAGCAGAGTTACAGGAAGAAATATGCCTATCCTCTGCCTAGAGCAAGCCAGTGCTGAGTCTTCATTTTCAGGAGCACACTCACAAATGTAAGATAAAATACAAGAACGTACATGAATTTGTTTAGCTTTCAGTATAATTTAATTTTTTTTATAAAGATTTTAGTTTATTTGGGCATGACCACTCCCTGGAAACAATTTGTTGCCTCACCCACATTAAACAGTTTACAGTGCATCTTTTGAAAATAGTATTATATTCCAAACTCAGGGTGGGTTTTTTTTTAAAATAACTGAATAATTAATGATTCTGGTAATAATTTGATAAACTATTCAATTTAGTTCAAATATGTACATAATTCAAGTTTTATTTACATGTATTAATTCAAGTTTAAGCTTTTTTAATACTGCACAAATAGTCCGATTATTTCTTTTACACTTGTTAGGGCTTCTTCCAGATAATGATCTCACAATGCACTGCTGTTAATTTAGTACAGATGGATATTGCCTGATTTATTATTTGTATTTGGAAGAACATGGAAGTGCTGATACTACAAATGTCATGGAAACATTGATGCTCAAACACTCTAGATGAAATTAGGAGATAGTTATACTACATAACTAAAACCACACCTCCATATAGCCAGTTAGAACAACTGTCAGATGGCTATTATGAGACATTCAGTAATTTTACAGCAATTCATCAAAGGGCCTTGAAGGCAGGCCAGACAAAATTTGGAGCCATTGTCATAAATGGGATTATTTTCACTGCTGACTATCAAAATGTCATGATATCCAAGTCATGAGAAAGTTACGACTAGCTAAAGCAAGCAGGCCAGAATATTGACTCCTCAGAGCATGGTTTCTGTAATTTTAATTGAGTGACCTTACTAGTCTGAACAATTCCTGACTATTTTGACCTGTGTTTTTGTCAGCTCTTGTGAGCTAAATAGTTAGTATCCGAGCAGTGGGTGGGGAGTTTGAATTTGAACTTTCCCCCTATATGCAACAAGATTGGATAGAAAAATCATACAGAGTTCTATGGCTCACTTGTTGCATCCCAAAAAATTATGGTTTTCCTTCCTGAATAGGATCCCAGATGTTCCTAATTTTTAATAGGTACCCAACCATATAAATGCATTAATTTTAGGCGTTACATGAATTAAGTTCCTAAATCATATTTCTGTAGTAGATGACAAAGACCAATTGAGTAAAAAGCTTTTACTTTGTTTTAATCAATCACAACTGTTTACATTCAAGTTTTAAAGTGGAAAAGTATCAGAAAATGTTTGCTTCAACTAATGTTTTGTTAAGGCATGGAATGGACAAAACCACATCTATGAATAGCTAGGCATTCTGTCCAAACACCTTTTTATTAAAAATCAACCAACCAACTTCTAAACTCCATATCTGGATCTTGGACTACCCCTCATCTAAAACTGACATGCACAGCATTGGGTATATCAGAGGAAAAAGGATCATAAATCTTCTTTGTTAATATCTCATATATAGAATAGCATTCTACAAGATGTTTTAAAGTGAGGAATTCATATAATATTCCTGCTGGTAAATTTTCTGAAAATCCATGTCATGTCCTCGGAGTTTTTCTTTCTGAGGACAAGTCTTACGTAGATTAAGAAATAGGAATAAATGGCATAAAAATATAAATATCTGCGTCAGAGTCTAGATCTATCTACTCTAGTTCTGCAGGTCTCTAATTATTAGCGTGTTTACATATACTACTAAAAATTGCGTATTTTTGGCGATCAGGCATTTGGTGAGAGAAGGAATTTAAGCAGTTATCTTAAACTGTATATGTCTTTTATATAATTTGAAAATGTACTATTAAGTTACCCATTTTTGTTTTTATAAACATATATAGAAAGATGGTTGATTTAGTCAAAGTGTATTATAGCAAAGCTACTGCAGCAAGAAAAGGAAAACAAGATATCCCATTTAAATTTTCTTGATACTAGTAACTCACTCATATCTTCATTTTAAAAGAGATCCAAGAACCCATTTTCTACACACCTGAAGTTGCCTTGTTAGGCACTCTGCTCTCTGAGGACTTCTTTCTATTTTGCTCAACCCCCTTCATTGAGGTCTTAGGGGTTCTAATTAAATATAAAAGAGTTAATAAGTCACTTGCATTAAAATCCAAAGATTGTATCCAATAAAGAAAAACACTATCAAACTGTTCTTGGTATGAAAACATCTGTAAGTGATACAGTAGAGTCTCTTCCAGAATGTGCACATGTGAAACTCCTATTAACATTACTAGGAATTATGCATATACCTTAATAGGAGAAACTCTCCATGCACACTTTTTTTTCTTACTACTCTATTCAAGAAACCGATCTAATGAGTACATGTTGCATTATTTAGGAGGTATGTGTTTCTTATAAAATCATATTTCATTTTTAGTAGGTGGAAGCAAAACTTAATGGAATGAATGTTACAAATACAGATGTCAGAACACAGTGTAAATGAAAAACAGAATGAGACCACTGCATTTTTTCCCTTACGGTATAAGAAAAATAAAAGCTAGGAACTTTAAGAACTGTCTCACCATGAATTGTAAGTTAGACATTTTGTATTTGAACAATATTTGCATTGATGCATGTAGATCTTACTTGGAAATTATTTGACTCAGATATTGCATTTGTTTTCAACCTTTAAGTTGTGCATTAAAACACATACAGTACTCTTACCCTTGCCTGCAAAGAAGCCTATGAACTGGAGTATTTTGTCCTTGATTTGGCTGAAGTACTCTGTTAAAAACAAAATCTGTATTAGTTTTGTTTATTTTGTTTCTAAATAAGTTTGATTTTTATATATTGCCTTCCATATTCCAAGTATCTCAAAGAAGCCAACACAGTGTTTGGTTACATGTTGCTAATGCAGAGAGCATCCAGTTATGCGTGGCAACCATTAAAACTCAAGAAAAGCACTGAAATAGCCTTCAGAGACAGAAAGAAGGAATCTATTTTACAAGTGTCTATACTAAAGGACTAAACTGTTTCAATTTAGAAACATAGCAGCTACGCATTTCTAGCACCAATTGTTATTGCAACAGTTCTGTGTGCATACACTTATTACCCTGGTATAGCAGACCCACACACAGCACCTGCTCCAACACTTGCTGTGGCTCTGAGTTGTGGTACTTATCACAAGGCTTCCGATAAGAAACCTGGAGCAGGTTCATACGAGTAATAAATATTTTCACTGATTACTATGATGCTGCCCTCCTGCCCCCCCTTCCCCCGCCCAGTGATTTATTTGAATTATTTGGTTCTGCTTGTAGATCAACACTCACACATTGTGGGGGCAGAACTACACACGTGCCATGGCAGAGGCCATAACGTGCCCCTGCTGCTCGACAGACTGATCTGCAGTTCACAATAAATAGCATCAACAACTTCATATGTTGGTTCTTGGGAAGACAGATCTTGCTTTTATTATTTTTGTAATTTTTTAAATTAAATTTTTTGTATAACTATGTTTGTTTGGGAATGATATGGCCAGTGGCTCTTAGCTGTTGTCATGGGATTGTCCTGGGAGGCCCCACTGAAACGGTACAGCTGCAGTGCTTCAGGTTTCTTATCAAACTAGCACTGACACACAGTTTGAAATTAAGTGGGCAAAGCTATTTTTAAGATTTGCTCAGAGATGATGCAATCATACCAGTAGAGGGCATACCTGTGAAATGTTTTGTGCACGGATGTATGCATGCTATTTTACAAGCATTCTAAGGGCTGGCCTATACTTACCGGGTAGTTCGACGGCTGGCAATCGAAGTTCCGGGTTCGATTTATCGCGTCTGGTCTGGACGCGATAAATCGAACCAGGAAGTGCTCGCCGTCGACTGCGGTACTCCAGCTCAACGAGAGGAGTACCGCGGAGTCGACAGGGGAGCCTGCCTGCCGCGTGTGGACTGCGTCTGAACCGCGGTAAGTTCGAACTAAGGTATGTCGACTTCAGCTACGTTATTCACGTAGCTGAAGTTGCGTACCTTAGTTCGAATTGGGGGGTAAGTGTAGACCAGGCCTAAGCATCTGAACTGGTATTAGCCAATATTCTCTAGTGTAGACAGACCTCATCTGGAAGGCAGCACTCCTAACAGTTCAGTACTAGTTTATTAACACAGAGTATAAGATAGTGGCCAGGTGCAAGACATGAACCTCTCTCTCTTTACCATCTAGAGGCAAGAATGCTACTGAAGCTTGAGGATCTCTTTAAATAACCCCCATTTTAAGAAGTTTCTACAGCTTGCTACATGACAGTTCATGTCTGGGGAAGTGGAGAGAATAATATCATACTGTTTTAAAAATAGCATCAAGCATTTGCTTAAAGTTAGATGCTACCACTGCATCTAACACTTGAGAAACTTGGGAACTGGACGGAGTGAGTGAAATAAACACAAACAGACAAGAAAGGTCATGTTTGAGGATATTAATCTTGAGAAACTGAAGCTGGAAAAGTACTATTTATTAACTGTAGGCAAGTTAATAACTTTTCATAATAGTTTAGCCCTGTGCATTCTTCATTACCCAGGGGCAATGACGACAGGTGACTAGCTGATGGCAAGCAAGCAGTCAATAGACCTAGCATTATAAAAAACAGTTAAGAACATTTTAGTGTAAATTACAAAAAAGTCATTTTCACTGACCTTGCTTCAGGAGTATTTTGTTTTATGATTAATTTTTTATTTGGCATTCCCATTTCTGCAGCTCTAACGAAACAAAAAAAGTGTAAGTATCCAAATACTTTTAAAACATTATAAAAATGGTCAGACAAGAAGCTATAAAAATAAAAGGAAGCCACCTAAACAGTATTATTGCCACTCTTTTGGCAAAATTATGTACAGTACAGACTACACTTTCCAACTGCAACACAAACAGAAGCAATTGTCTCCATTATGCCATAAGGCACTCCAACCAACATGCATGCATCTCTTATCATACACAGCTAATTTTGGAGAAAGCCATGAAAAGAACATAAAAATACAGCACTCACGCTTTGCAAACCAACTACAGACTAGTCACACAGGAGTCACTTCATTCATCACTGAAACAGCATCTTAACAGCACACAGCGACATTACACACAGCTCAGAACAGAGTGAAGAATATTATATCAATTGAGAACTAGAGGAAATTTTTGTAGGCAGGATGCAGCTACCTAAATTCAATATAGTCATGGTAGTGGGGCAACCACTAATCTTTCCAAAAGCTGTTATGGATTTTATTAGTTACAAGCAAGCAAATTTTATCTTATCCAAAGGATGGCATCTCAGATGGGAGAGAGTCCCCTACAGCCATGGTGTGGCATTGGGTCATTACCGCTAACTCAGCAGGAATGTCACCTGATAATGTCACCAACACTATTAACTGCAGTAATGTGATTCACTTGAGTTGTTACAGCAAATACAGAGGGTATTTGGACAATGATAAATATAAACCATGATTCTGGTGATCAGACTTCAGAGAAAATTAGATAACAGCAAGTAGGTACAGAGAACAAGATGAGGAGTGTTTATCTTGTTTTCAGCATGGGAACAAATATATATTGAATGTCTATACAAAAAATGCCATTATAAAGAAATAGAATTCAATACACTTATGGAAAAAGGAATCTTACATATAAAGACTTTCTAGCAAATATGAAAGTCTTCCAAAATCCGTACGAAACTATTTTGCTAAAAGATTCAGCTGTATTCAAACAACAACAACAACTCCCTTCCTTCCAATTCTCTCTACCAAAAAAATATTAAATACATACATACTTCATGTACTTCTTCCTATCCAGAGACTTCTGTGTAGCTGTTGAAAGTGTCACCCTCTCTCGTGGAGTCTTTATTTTAGCCTACAAAAACACAGAAGTGGATACTAATATTTGTTACTACTTTTATTACAGTTGCCGCATCTGATCCACCTTAATTAAAAGATTGGCACTTTTCATTATAAAATCTGCTTTAAAAGATTTAATGCAACTCTTTAGTTTACATGGTGATGTAGCTTTTTTTTACATTCCAAACTTTAATTTAAAATAACAAAACCAACAACAACAACAACAAAGTTATGTGCACCTTTTCTCTTGCTATCAAAATAATTCCATCATTTCTCTCCTCTCTCTCTCTGAGACAGACAGACACACACACACTTTGGAAGCATCCAGGCACCAAGTCCCTACTGTAGACTGGAGTCTTTCTGAACAAGTTTAACTACTGGAGCACCACAGCTAAAGCCACACAATTATCAGGAAGATTGTTTTCAAAAGCTAAGGTTTTATATTTCTTACTGGGTCAGGAAAAAAAAATCTGTATCTTACTCCAATCACTAACAACGGATACTTAACTAGTGACAAAAATATACATTTTCCTAGTTTTAAAGTGTTTCTTACTGGATACAAACTTGGAACATACCATTTGCCTCAGCATTTTCTCTTTGCGAACTTCACGATCATGACGCAGAATATTCATTCTTTCAGATACTTCCATTATAAAGAATATATCATGGATGTCATACAGCGCAGCTCGCAGCTGAAATAAATCAAAGCTTTCATGAAGCTTTCTTGGTGAAACTACATTTTAAAAACCCCTGTGTCAGCACAAAATGCCCATAGTTAAAATTTCATTTCAAATATTGACCCTCTGAAGTCTTCAGATATTTCTGTCAAAGATAAAATAATTTCTCTCTTTTACAATGATGAAGTAATTATAAAAGAAAAGCTTTGAATATACATTACTTGAGCCATCACTCTTTCTTGTAGGGATGCATCTTGCGCCGAAACAGTTCCTCTCTTTAAGGGAGCTTCAGACTGAAAATTTTTTATGAACTCCATAGTATCCTAAAAAAATAAAAATATTATGTACTACGCTTAATCTTTCACACTGAGTGGAAGTAAATCTCAAGCCATTTATACATCTGCTCCCTTAATCTCAAAAGTTCAGAGGAAAAGGATAGTGTGGGCCAGGGATCGGCAACCTTTGGCACGCAGTCCACCAGGGTAAGCCCCCTGGTGGGCCGGGCCAGTTTGTTTACTTGCCGGGTCCACAGGGTCAGCCGATCGCAGCTCCCAGTGGCTGCGGTTCGCCACTCCAGGCCAATGGGGACTGCGGGAAGCAGCGGCCAGCACATCCCTCGGGGGCTTACCCTGGCAGGCTGCGTGCCAAAGGTTGCCGATCCCTGGTGTAGGCAGAGACTGGGGGTAGCTAAACAGATATGGATTTAACCGTGATTCTCTAAAAAAAAAAAATGGGGCACTTAGACAATCTTCTCCTTGGCCTTACTCCTGTAACCAAGCAGAAGTAATTTAGCATTCTCACTATTGCAAGATTGGGTTCCCCTATATGCCGTATCCTGTCTAACATCTTTTACTTTGTACCTACACACACACACCATTCTCCACAGTTGTGCTGTACAGGAGCAACTAATACTAAATATACCACCTTAGACCCAAGAAATATTCAGATTAATGGAGATGATGTTCCACTTCACCATCTTTCCCTACTGCTGCCTTGCCGAGCAACAGGAGTGACGGGGTAAATCACTCATCTCTCTTTTCCCTTCTCCACTCCCTTGTCCTTAGCTTCCTCTCCTCATATTAAATCAATCAGGGACAGAGGGGCAGATTGAAGACATTAATAGAATACCTTAGATGATGCCTCTAATTTTAGCATCTAACTATTTGAATATTTAGAAAGCTGCAAAATCACAGCATAAGTTTGACACAGGAAACCTCCATACTAACTCAGGATCCAGGAAAAATACAGTTCAATTAAAAAAAGTTTTAAGACAGCAGATATGAAAGTTGGAATAAGGAATATTCTGCTATGCAAGGTTCATTTCAACTGAAAGTTTGCATGTGAGATAATTAAGAATATATCTAAGAAACAATTATTCAACTTCAGTCTGTATTAGAATGGTTTTATAGGTCACTTCAAAAAAGCACAGGAAAAGGTACTGTTGGGACACTATAAAAAGTGGTATGCACACAGCATGCAATAATTAACACAACTATGTTTTGGGTAGTTAATTCATTCTCTAAAAAGGATAGAGCTATATTACTTATGTAGTAAACTTCATTAGTTAATTCTCAAAGTAAAATGAATTTTGTGCTCTGGTGAAAAGTCTAGATCTTATTTGTCAGCTGAAAGGGAGTGGCAGAAACCAACAGGAGGAAGGTGGAAAAAATGCATAAAGCAAGCATCTTTACAGTTATCTCCTTACTTTTACAGTTTGCCTAAGATATTTCAATTTTTCTGTTTGCATGAGCCTACGAGTCAGAAATCCCTTTGCCAAGGCAGTGATCTTACTGAACTTCACTTGCATCTCTGGATTGAAGGCCTTTAAAGAAAAGAGAAAAAAAAAAAAAAGATTAAAATTAAGAGATTTTCTATGCTTTAATATCAAATCCAACGAAAGTTCTGAATTTTAATTTCTCAAAATAAATTAAGTTAAATTGATTGCTACTTGTTTAACAAAAATGTCTGTACAGCTATCTTGTATTAACAGCCAGGTATTAAATTTTGCCAAATACACTTTGGCTAGCCAGAACTCCCCAGTATTAATTTGGTTAACAGAATAAAGATGTGGTTACACGATTAGTTTGTCTGTACTGTAATGAGAAAAATATTGTTCTGCTCTCTTCTTGTGTCTGCTAGTACAAATCCATCTAAGAACTGTGGATCAATTAGTAGTTTTGGATTGGAAGTTATTAATGCGTACCTGCAGTAGCAGTTGTCCTGAAAGAATTAGATGGTTAAGCAAAATAAAATAAAATAAAATAAAATAAGAGAAAAGCTTAAGTCAATTTATTTTCACACCTGAGACCACCTGGTTTTGGCCCTAATAAGCCTGGATGCTGATATTTTTGACATTCCACTACCAGATGGTCCCCAGAGGTAGAATGGAGCTTCATTTGTTGAACCAAAACTACTGGGCATGGTAGTGTTGGCAAAACCTATATGAAAGCAGAATGTATGATTAAACAAATGAGTACTAAACAGGAAGCCTGTGCACACAAACTACTGTTCAAATACTTACACGTCATGCACCAGTTACACACACACACACACACACACACACAAATCTAGTTTTATGACATCTGCAATGTTGGGTTTTTTTAAATGTACAGAGATAACAGCTAACATTCTATATTAAAACCAAATCTTTCTTGAATTTACTTTACATCGGGATATATATTGGACTAAAATTGCTGCCAGCATTTTCCCTTGTGTTGTATGCACTATATTCTTATGTCACCTATGCTTGTTCAAAATGTAGAAATATCATAATCAAAGTGGGAAAAGGTCCACCACTATGCTAGTGTGTGAAAAAGTCCCCAGTAGATGGCGTGTCAGATAATAAAATGATACCAGATCTTATCCAAAAGGCATCTGACCAAGGAAGGTACTTTCAGAATTTTATTACAGTAGTAGTTTCTGATCCTGCAAAATGGACATAAGCTTGCTAAGACCACTAATAAATTTTACATAGACTGCTAAACAGCAGCTGTAAGGTGCTAACTTTCAGTACTTCCTGCCTAGACTGGATTCCAACCACGGAAGAAGCAGAGATGCTACCATCACCAATACCATGAACCAGCCAGTACATTTGGTATATTCTGCTTTAAAGTGCCCAGTAAAACTTTTAATAATTATTTGCCCCCTACTTTTACCAGTGCTGTTCGAGTTTGTGTTATGGATTGTCTCCACTTGAGTCAGCATTGTTTCCAACAAGCCACTTTCGCTTATTTTTCTCCACTGCAGTTCCATCCCACTGCTAATGGTCATTTTGGGTATTTCTATGTCTGCTGTAGCACTCTTCTTTCCTTTTAACCTTCTCTCCTGCTCTTCTATCTCCTGCAGATTAAAAGTCTGAAATAAAACCAGATCTTTGATTCTACATAATGGAATTTAAATACATTTTGAGCAAGCAATTGTATCCTGGCATAAGCTTCAATACAACATAGGCAGTTTAACTAATACTTTTTTCCCCATTTGCGGAACCCTAAAAATTTTCGAATGGAGGTGCAGACCCTTTTGGAAATCTTAGATATAGTCTGTGGACCCCCAGGGGTCCACAGACCACAGGTTGAAAATCACTGATATAAAGACATCTTAATTTCCACTAACCTCCATGTAACAAATGATATAATAGCACTTAAAACAGATGTGCTGAATAAATATACTGCAAGAAATCCAGCAGCGCAGCCTTTCCCAAATATAAACACCTGGCTTCCTATCCCTTTTGGCTATTTTAATAGATCATGAAGATGTTATGCAAGCTAATACCTGACTGTGCAGTAATTGTCTAGCTTTTCCAGGATATCCAAGTCCCCATTGCATCTCTTGCCTTTTGCAGTTTGACACGAAAGCATTCATCAATTATACATCTTGTCAAGGTTCCTTCCCCACTCTGAACTCTAGGGTACAGATGTGGGGACCCACATGAAAGCCCCCTAAGCTTATTTACCAGCTTAGGTTATCAGTAAGCTGCCACCACCAAGTGTGTTCCAAATCTTAGGGAAGAGCCACTTGGAACTCTGCCTTTCCCCAAATATTTCCCAAGTCTCTAACCCCCCCGTTCCTGGGCAGATTTGAGACTAATTCCTCCCCCCACCCAAGTCCTTACACCCCTTTTCCCTCACCAATTAGTCCTGGTGAACACAGATTCAAAACCCTTGGATCTTAAAACAATGAAAACATCAATCAGGTTCTTAAAAGAAGAATTTTAATTAAAGAAAAGGTAAAAATCATCTCTGTAAAATCAGGATGGAAAATAACTTTACAGGGTAATCAGATTCAAAGAGCCCAGAGGAACCCCCTCTAGCCTTAGGTTCAAAGTTACAGCAAACAGAGGTAAACCCTCTAGCAAAAGGAACATTTACAAGTTGAGAAAATAAAGATAAAACTAACATGCCTTGCCTGGCTGTTACCTATAAGTTTGAAATATGAGAGACTTGTTCAGAAAGATTTGGAGAGCATGGATTGATGTCCAGTCCCTCTTAGTGCCAAGAGCAAACAACCCCCAAAACAAAGAGCACATAAACAAAAGCCTTCCCCCTCCCCAAGATTTGAAAGTATCTTGTTCCCTTATTGGTCCTTTGGGTCAGGTGTCAGCCAGGTTACCTGAGCTTCTTAACCCTTTACAGTAAAAGGATTTTGGTGTCTCTGGGCAGGAGGGGTTTTATAGTATTGTATACAGGAGGATTGTTACCCTTCCCTTTATAGTTATGACACATCTCTCTCCTGGGAATACCCTTTCATCTCTATACTAAAACAGAGAATAATCCTAAGCCTCCAGTTTTTGCCGCATGAGTTTTCTCAACGCTCCAAATGCTGCTAGCCAGACCAAAATGGAAGCTCAGGGAAGGTTTCACACAATCATATTCTTCAAAGAGCTCCCACAAATTCAGACAGATTTATTAAATATCCATCTTGAGTATGATATGCAGAGAAAGAATATATTGTTTCAGCCCCTTATACTAAAATAGCAAGTTGAGCAGTTAACCCTAAAGACCTAATTTTAGCATTTTCCTATCTTGTTCCCTCACCTTCTGCAATCTCTCCTGTTCTCTCTCTTGTTCAGCTATCAGTACTGATAGTTGTTGTGCATGCTGCTCTTCAAGTCTCTTTCTCATTTCTTCAAAAGCCAAGAGTTTATTTTTCAAAATCTCTTCTTCTGAAAAGAAAAAAAATACATGCATCATAAAGCATTAATCATATAGTCTTACATTTTCTAAGTGTTCTGCAAGCTAGATAAACAGATCTCTACATTTTCAATACATTTTTCCATTGGGTGTTATACAGCACCGTTGGTATATCCACAAAAACATGAAGTAGAATATTTTTCTTTTATTTCATATTCACGTTTCTGAGATCAGCATATCCATGGACGGGACAGTATAAATGGCACTGACCAATCCCAGATTCAAGAGGTCACATGCAGAGACTAGCTCTGAAAAGAATATGACTACTTGCTTGAGTGAACAAAACATTTATTCCACTCAGTTTTGATAGCTTCCTTTACAGACATACACATGACATTTTTATTCTTGAATTGGAAGAACACCAATCCTGGTAATATTGAAGTTACTTGCAGCTGATATTTTAATGCAAGCATGTTTTTATTTGCAGTGTGCATCTGTTTTCTTACATTTTAAGAACTCAAAAAACTGCTCTACCATAGGCCTGCTCACCATACTCATGCTAGGTGCCCCATTGACCTTTCCCTGGCACACAAGAATTCACTTAGATTTTCTTTCTGTTATTAAACATTTCACAAGTGTCCCCGTACATGCACAATGAGTCTGTGCTGCTAGAATCTCTCCAGTCTCTTTGGAGGTTTCAGATTAAAACAGGGTGAATATTTAAAACACATCCCACAAACCCATGCATGCTCTTGTGAAATTTTCTTTGGATTATTTTTCAGTTGAGTTTTCCTCCTTTCATTTTTATGTTCCACCAGGATATAGCAAGCGCCTTTATTGGCATGATTGTTTAATTTCTGTTCAGTGGCCTTTCATTTTTCTTTTTTTAAATCTCTCTAATCTAATTATATACAACAATTTTCAACAGAACAATATCAAAAAACTTTACAATACAAAGAGGAAAGACTCCGGTTAAGGCAGCAAATGGTGATTTTAAGCAAGCAGATCAGATAAAAATATGTTTTATATAACAAGAAAACAAATACCTTTTCTGGTATATGCTATATGAAAATGTCTAAGCACATGCTCCTGTATCATTCATTATCAAGTAGGAGGTACAAGGCTTTGCCTCTAAAGAGGCAACTTTCATATACAGAAGATCATTTTGGTCATTCAATAGCAGCTTTCAGAAGACTTTCAGAAAAACTTGGTTTACTACAGGGCCGTACTTAATGTTTAGTGGATTAAAAATACAGAAATGTATCCTGTCATTTTATCATAAATGATGCGCAAGCTAGGGGAATACTCAAAAAACTAAGGTGCAGATGAAAGACAGTGGCCTATTTTCTAAAAATGAAATTTCTAACTAAAGATAACTTTCCAACTTGGAAAAAGGCTGACTACAGAAAACGTTATCTCACCGTTGGTACTACTGCCTGAGGTTTCATTCTTGTTATCATAAACAGATCCTATGGGGCATCTTCGCTCTTGCAACCTCCACTTCTCTTGTTCTTCTGTTCCATCTGTTAAAACATATGGGTTGTTCTCTTTCTGTGAGCTATCAATATCCAAATCAAGCCTACGTTTCACTTTTTCGAAACCATTTTCTACAAAATGTTCATTTCCAGAAGAAACATTTGGAGTATCCATTTGCTGATGCTTATTCTGGCTTTGCATCAGTAATGGAGATGGATTTTCTACATCATAAGATTTATTGAGTTCCACGGGTGAATTACTTTTGGTCTTTTCTAATAAACTATCTGGCTTGATTCCATTCATAGTTACGAGCTTTTGAGTCACCATCGACTGACTGACTGCATACGACTCATGCAATTTTGGAGTTGCAGTACAAGTAGTACTGTCCATTTTGTATGGCCTTCTACTATCCAGTTTTCCCTCCATTATGGAAGACACCATCATTCCTTTGCTCTCTAGTTGACTAATGGAATGCTGACACATGTGATTTGACGTCTCTGAAGAATTCTTGTTGACATGAGCTTTGCTAGAACAAACTGCAGTGATGTCAGCAGTGAATTTTGGCACAGGTTCAGATGCATTGGTTTGGTCAGTAACATCTTGTATGATCAAGTCAATTGCTCTTCCCTTGTTTATAGGGCTTAATTCATAGGCATTCACAGGGTTATTGATAACTATGTGTCCCATTGATGAAGGTCTTGGACGTCTTCGGTGCATTTTAGGGCTCATACTTGGCTCTGGGCTGGGTAATTTGGCATAAGAACCTGTAAGGCTTCTGACAATACTACTATCGTGATCAAAGGTAGAGATATTTTTAAATTCTTCATCTGAATCCGAATCCAAAACTGGGGGTGTTCCAGCTCTGGTAGGTATATCCACTTTAGAAAAACTGGGTGAAGCTGATGTACTCACGCTATTTATTTGGGCAGAGGCACCTTGGAGAAGAATATTTGATTTATTAAGACTTGGTTTATCAAGTGTCAGAGGAGTACAACTCCTGCCTGTAAACCTCGCTCTCTCTTTCCCAGACACATTTGTTTTAACTGCGTCATTTTCTTTATCAGAATGACTTTCATTAACACTTCTTTTTGAATTACTTCTTATGCTACGTCTGGTTTGCTCTCTCTCTATGTACTCCCTAGACTTTTTCAGAAGGTTTTGAAGACTCATTACATAAGGATCAGGTACTTCCTCACCAGCTGGTGGCACCTCCATATGCTCTTGGTTTACATGTGCATTTGAAGTAGTCATATTTTGTGTTTTATCAGGAGATGTAACCTTTGGGCAAGCAATGTTTTCTGAGAGGTTGCTCTCACTTTGTTCAGGAGGAATATGTTCTTCTGTGCCTCTAACTGAGTCTATTCCACTTGATGTAACCTGGATAACAGTATCTGCTGGCATAATTTCCAATGTTTTTTCAAGGTCTGTAGTACCATAGCATGCAATAGAACTTGGCAAATTGATGTTTGATAGCATTGTGAAGCCATTTGAGGCTTTTGATTCTGAATTAGAGTGACCACTCTCATGCTCCCACTGATCCAAATCGCTCATACTAGACACCTTTCTGACCTGCAAAGAAAAACTGAAAATTATTATGTCAATTCAGTGTAATAAAGCCCTACTGTTTTCAAATTAAGATTAAGTACATATGCCTTCTGATCTATAAAGTTAGATTGCTGTCACTTTAATGCAACATGAATTTTCCAACTTGAATGGAACTATGGCAACCACACTAGTCTACGATGCAGAAGATGACCTTTCCAACTGGCAAAGGTAATTTGAGGAGAATGCAACAGATATATTTTAATATTTGGTTTAGTCAGAAGTTTTTATCATCAGACCAACCACCTATGATAAAATTATATTAAAAGAAAAACAGATATTTGAACATATATTCTTTAAGTAATATTATGGCTGCCAATTAAAGAACAATGTTCAGGACAATAGGATGTTACATAAATGTATCATTGGCGTTTATTCAGACATGTAATTCAAATAACTTCAGCAATAACATTAAATATACTTCAACTCAGACTAACCCATTGCCAATTAAGAGAAGTATTATGCAAAAGAGTACATACATAATTCTCAATGAAATTTATGGACATACAAGAAAACCTTTTTGGTTTTCATTATTATGTAACCAGAGCTTGCTTCTGTGGAAAGCAACTGACACCAAAAAAAAGAGCACAGACCATTCAGTATTATCTGCCCCTTTGTATAAATTCATAGTCCTCTTTAGGTATAGGTAACAGTGCAGCTATTGACAACAGGGGCATTTAAACCGAAGGATAAAAGGTTGTCAGAGTTGTATCAACCTAAGTGCCCATTAACCACAGGAGGTCTAGAAGAAAGCAAACCATTATTTTTGTATTCTCAACATATGCTCCTGGTCTGCCTTTCAAATCCCAAGTCAGGTGATGGTTTCCATGCACACACTAGTAAACAAAACAAGAAGCTCAATAGATTACATTTGCCACCTCAGTAATAAAACTTAAGCCCAATGCAAACTGTGTTCAGTTAGCTGGTGGGTTAGTTCAAGGGCTTTATTACATCCTACTAAAAAACCCAAACTACACTGTTTTAAGAAGCCTATTTAGGAAAAAATAATAATTTAAAGCAGGGGTTCTCAACCTTTTTCTTTCTAAGGCCCCTCCTCAATATGTTATAAAAACTCCACGGCCCACAACTACTGGTTTTTGGGCCAGCATTAGAGGGTAGCAAGCAGGGCAGTTGCCAAGGGCTCCATGCCACAGGGAACCCTACGAAGCTAAGTTGCTCAGGCTTCGGCTTCAGCCCTGGGTGGTGGGGCTTTGGCTTTCTGCCTTTGGCCCCAACAAGTCTAATGCCAGCCCTTCTTGGTGGCCCCCCTGAAACCTGTTCATGGCCCCCCAAGGGGCCCCGGACCCCTCGTTGAAAACTACTAATTTAAAGTATCTGCCTGTCTAACCCCTAAGAACAGTCCCATCATTGCACAAGAAAAGATAATTACAATATAAATTTCAAAGCATACACCAGCACTGTTATTTATTTTGCAAAGTCTAGTTTCAGGGGGGAAAAGCGGTACTGTCACTAGTTAACAGTTTTTATAGTAGTGACCAGTCTGAAGGAAATCTATCTAGCTATTTTAAATGGTGTTATGAAAACAATAGCCATACCACAAAAACTAGCTGATTTCTACAAATACCAAATTGAGCACGGACCACAACTGAAAACTTAACAACATTATTTAAAACTATTACATGTATTCACTGTAATTGTTCACCAGGTCATACAATATAAATTACTAGCAAATGTTGGTCTAAAGAGTGTAAACTGCTAGTAACTGCAAGTTTATATTAGGGATCTTACTAGCCTTCAGTGACCCTTGGAATGTGCAGAGAAGACGTTTTCATACAACAGCTAATTAAAAAACCTTGCATCAAACTTGCCTGCACATTTTCCAGGATCTCCTGAACACGATTCAGTAAAGCTCTTTTCCTGGAATTCTGTTTCCAGATCTCTACATCAAGTGCTTTTTGTTTATCCTGGTGCATTTCCTTTTTTCTCTCAAGACTCAGCTGCAAAACAAAGTATCAGTGACTTCTTTTCTTTATCAAAAAGCAAAATTAAATATAAGAAATATTTTTTAAAAATTGATATGTAATGGGAGAGCACATGTTTGTTGAGATTTTATGCAGTTTGAAGATTAGCCTCTTTTTAACCATAAACATTTTTTGGCAAGACAGGGAAAATTTACTCAGCCCACATAAAGCCCAAGAATTGGAGCATATGCGTATGAAGTGCAGAGAGATTTAGCTTTACAGGATCTACTCAACAGTTGATCATGTGGACCCTCTCACTGGATGGCCTTCCACACCAGACTATGCAGAGCTGGTAAAGAGATCTTTTGAATGGTGTATACAGAGTGCACAAGCACCCAAATGACCACTCTCACCCCAGTTTCCTACCCATAAGCCTTGTCTAATTGCTGGGATGTGGGATCTTCACACTGACCCTTCATACCATAGGTGAATTTCAGACCCAAACATAGAAGTCCCTTCCAAGACCTTATAAATCACTCTTCCTGCTCTAGTTTACTTTCTTCTAGCTCCCTTCTTTGTCCTAGAAACAGCATTTGCTGAAATAAAAGAAGTTACAAAGCTAAATTCTCTTTAATCACCCCATGTGTTTTCCCACTGTTATTTCTTGTTATCCAGTACTATTTTAAACAAGCCCAAATAATGTTAAATAACTGGTAAATCAGCATTTTTTTCAACTGAAAAGAAAGTGTTCAGTAGTAATATTTATCTGGTTTTCCACATGATAAATATACACAAACATACATACATAATCTAAAAAAAGAGTAAGGAAATGTAGTTAGTAGGAATAAAAGGCTTGAAAGTAAAAGTTACCCTGTTTATTTTGTGAAATCGAAACCTGGAGTACTCAGAGTCCTACAACAGAGTAGGAAACAGTTTAAAGGGAGCTGCATCTCCTCTGACACTTTTCTCAGATCCTCACATCATTGAACTAGTGTAGCTTTGTTGATACTAGAAGCATCAATGAGAAGATTTCAGAAAACCTTCTATATAGAAAAAGCCTTGGAGGCGCCCTGCTAGAGAACATATATAGCTGTGTTGCAAGTTTGTCTTTGTTTATGCTAGTCAGTTTTATAGCTGTAATTTCCTACTGGTCCAGCTCCACCAGTAGTAGCTGTAGTGTCAAGGATCAGTTAAATGATAGCGGTAAAGAATACCTATGCCCTTTTTACACTATAACTTACACCACTGCTACCCATTAGAATTCTGTCTATGAAATACACTAGGGTAGATGTGGTGCAAGATAAGTATAGCGGGAGTGGAATAGTGTAGAAAAGAGGGTATTGAGTGGGGAAGGGCAGCCTTTAGAGAAGAAAGACCACTGGGTATGGCAGGAAGGGAAGAAAAAGAGTCCACCCAGCAGGCATTGCCCAAGTCAAAGGCACCACAATCTAATTTGTTCAAATGACAAAATCCTCTTGTACTACATTGCATGACAATCCCCCTATCCCACCACCCTCATTTTGGTTTTGAACCTCAACATTACAGACAAGTACTTGTCTCCTGTACTACTCAAGGTTGGTCATATCTTATCTAGATAGAAATAACTAAACAAAAATGGTTGTCCTCTTCTTTTTGAATACAAATGCCTAATTGGCAAGGGAATCTTACCAGAGGTGAAAGCACAGGAATGCCATGGAATTTAATAAGTGAGATATTCTTATGAGCAGATGAAGAGGTTTCCCTTTGAATCGACTCTCCTTGGATCCTTGCAAGATGCTTTTCACAGAACTTCTCATAGTCCTCCATCTTAATATTGTGCTGCACAGAGAGGAAATATTACGGCCAAGAATACAAAATACAGCAATATACATGACAATCTTGGCTTACAAAATTAGAAAATAAATTCTCTAAAACGTGTTACTCTCCCATCAGAAACAAAAAAGAACCAATACTTATTCTTCTTTAATCTGTGCTATTGTCAAGCCCAAATTAAGTTGTCCCTAAGAGACTGCTGTCCCATAAAGGGCTTGATTCTCCTTGAAATCAATGGCAAAACTCCTATTGATTTCAGTGGGAGCAGGATTGGGACCTTAAGTTGCTAAAGAAAAAGGCTTTGAGGTACCAAGTGACTTGTAACCCTTGTTACTCTATACAGTTCTCCCTTGACAGAGCCATTCTTTACAACCTTGGCAGTGAAACATTAGAAAAACTAGTACTAAAAATAGGATGGTGGCAATGCTGTTATTGTTACTTGTGAAGAAAAAAAAGCATGCATTTGATTGAGAGTAAGCTGGGAAAACAAATTAACACTGTAAACATGTTTAGGCTCAAACTTTGCTATAGGAAGGTAAGTTTTTTTAAAACTAATAGTTTAGAAAATAAACAAAACTATATTGTTTGTGCCCTCAATGCGTCTAAGATTAATACAGTTGTATTGTTTTACAAAAAGTTCATCCTCCCTTGAATGCTTTTTTGGGTGAGGAAAGAAATAGACAGTTCAATATAAATGTTCATGATGTAATCACAAGAATAGATGGTTCCCTTCGATTATGATGCACCATAATAGAGATTTGCAATACGGAACGCACTGTTACAAATAAACCACTTAAGTTAACAATAGAAGGCAAACACATATGTTTGCAGGTGCTGTAATTAATCAACACCTGAAACAACCATTTCCAATACAAGTGATTGAGAAGCATTAGTGAGAACCGAAAGGAAAATAATTAATTACGGTATGTGTCTTGACATGTACATACTGAACCGGTACAGTTATTCCATTGGTGAACCCTGAGGACATCATAAAGCCATGAAAATTAGAGCCTGAAGGATTTGTACATCACCTGAATCCCATGACAGGTTTTTGCAAGTTTTAAATCTATGTACCTTATTTAACAAAGCACATGGTTAAACAAATAAATCAAAGACATATTGCCCCCATTCTTATCTCTTTACCCCATCTCTCCACCAATGCACAAAATCCTCCTTAGAATCCCCTCCCACTTCATGATTACATTTGTATGATTTATGTTCTCACAAATATAAAATATGGTTATTACAAAATCCCCACAGATTACTAGAATCCTAAAATGGAATTATAACCAACATGTACACGTTACTTCCGTTTCCTAATGGTAATGCTATTAGAATCACTGCTGGGATTACAGCTTTACTACAGAGGGCAGGGTACAAATCATAAAGTGTTTTGTTAGATCTTCTATACAACAATTTGTGCAATTCTGAGACTGCAAAGAGGGAAGTCTGGAAGCTGTGGGCAGAAGTAGTATGTCATATTACTGTGAGTTATTTATGATGCAAACCACCTACAACTACATATATAAGGGGAAAATACATTCTTGGGTTGATAAGTTATTAACCTGCTCTGCTTGCGTCCATGAGCTCAGAACCAAGGAAAAGAAGAAAATTCTGCTACAACTACCAAAATTGCTTGTTCCCTATCTTTACAGAACTCCCTTTCTTCCACAATATAAAATTCACTGCACTTCTGTACTAAGTGATTGAAGCACTGATATAAAAAAACCCAGTCTGAAGTATGTGGGCTTTTCAACCAAAGCCCTCAAATTATTAAGTGTGCAAAGAAGAAATTAAGATTTGAGTCACTGAATCTGTTATGGATAATACAAAAGCAACCATTCTACTTGCCAAGAAAAAAAAATTCTCAGCTGGTAACTGGTCTTGCGTATTATTTGTTTTCAGGATTGTTGGGGTCAGGAAGTTATTTGGGGCCAGCTGTCTATCACCTCATCTCCTTTCTACCTGATCAGGTCTCATTATGGCAGAACCCCAATGCCCTATGTTAAATTTCAGGCTCTCTTCCAAATTGAATGGAAACTGGAAATTCCCCACAAATTATAAAACTGGTTCCATTCAAAACCAGCACCAACAATGCTGATATGGTGGCAGCCCCCATCCAGATTAAAAATTCACAGCCAAGCAGAAACTCAAAAGGAGAGGCAGGACTAGCATGCCTTAGTGTTTTTCTCCCTCTCCTTCCTGCCTTCTTCCAAGATGCCCCTCCCTTAAATTTCAAACTGCCTCCTAATTTCCTCACAGCCCCTATCCCCTCTTCATCCAAACGCCTCCTAAAAGAATTGCTCTTTCTGTGAAGTCCACCAGCACTAACCCACATGAGTCAAATGTAGGGCGACCAGACAGCAAGTGTGAAAAATCGGGACAGGGGGAGTGTGTGTGTGTGTGGGGGGGGGGGGGTAATAGAAGCCTATATACGAAAAAGTCCCAAATATTGGGACTGTCCCTATAAAATCAGGACATCTGGTCACCCTAGTCAAATGCCTTCTCCACCCACCCCCAACAGAACAACACTCACCCCCTCCTCAACTAAAACTTTCCCACTGAACCTGGTCTCAGCTACAGCTGCCTTTTAGAAAGCAAGCTCCCTGGGACTCTTCATCTTATACAGCGCCGAGCACATAACCAGCCCTGACACCAAGTCACACAAGGGGGCAGCATTCAGCGGCTGAGGTGGGGAGCGAACCGCGTCAGTTTTCGCCTCCTCCTCGGGGTGCGGAGACAGCAGCGCCCCACACGCGCCGGCGCTACAAGCGGAGCTGTCAGGCCATGACCCCTGGGGGCAGAGCCCCCGCCCCCACCCCATAACGCTAAAGCATTTTAAACCAGGGGTGACGATCCCCCGCGCCAAACCCCCCCCCCCAACTCGGGCTGCCCCTCCCCCGTTCTGGCAGGTCCCCCTTACGGAGGTGGCGGCCCCTCAGGTTCAGGTTGGGGGAGGACTGAGGAGGCCCGGAATCAGTCGCACCCCTCAGCCGCAGGGCCCCGGCACACACCTCGGAAAGGTGTCCCCGACCCCCCGTCAGGACAGGCTCCGCCCACAGCCTGGTACCTGCTACGAGGCCCCCAAGGAGCGTGGATACGTTGCTGGCGGGCCCAGCGCACCCAGGTTCCCTGCACAGAGCGCGCCGCGGCGCTCCCCGCCAGAGAGCAGCGGGCTCCTGGCAACCGCAAACCTCGCCGCACTCCGCCCCTCTCCCCAGCCTTCCCACCACCCTGCCAGAGCTTCCGGGTGGAGGTGACTAACCGAGCTGTTCAGCTGAGTGACCCGAGACGGATACTACAAATCCCAGCATGCAATGCTTCTCCGCGCCCACTTCCTCGCGCAATTTGACACCGAGGGTTGCATGCTGGGAATGGTAGTTTTGTTGGGCCCTAGGCTGCTTACCTCAATATGGAGTATTGCCTGCAAGGATCTGTAGTTTGGGGTGGGGTGGAGGCTGTACTGCGCTTCCCACTTAAATGTGAAGGTGACTTCTATTTTATGTCAGGTGTATGGAGTGAGGTTTTTACCCACGAAAGCTTATGCCCAAATAAATCTGTTAGTCTTTAAGGTGCCACCAGACTCCTTGTTGTTTTTGCTTCCCTTGCTGTTATTCCTAGAATTACCCTGATTCATTGTTGCTGGAACTAGGAGTGTGGGGCATGCCACCGCACCACCTGGCTTGAAGTTCCATCATATACAGGGTTTGCAGTTTGGGTCAATGGTTCTCAGCACCCCCACTATACAAATTGTTCCAGCACCCCTGGGCTCATTGTCAGTGGAATCTGTGCACAGGTCCTAATAACACTTCAAGGGCCCTGAAATCATCGCCATCTTTCACAGCATCACAGTAACGTTCTAGTGGGGTGTCACCACACTGCATTTGAGAGGTGATGATATTTTGATAGACAGGGTGATAACATGTCAATGCAGCCTTCAGACAGAGGCATCACTCACACTCCAGCTTTATGCTTTCACACAAGTCATCAAGCCCTCAGACTTTCTCTAAAATGGCATCACTTCTGTCTCTTCTGCAGCCCTGGGTACAACCAGCTGCTAAAGTGTTTAGCAAGCTGGCATGAGGCAGGGCAGGTGGGTTTGAAAAAGACACAGCTGCTGCTCTAGCTCAGGCTAAGTCTGTTTAGGTTTGTAGAAACATTTAGTTTTTTTGGGGGGGGGAAGCATAGAGGCTAATAGTTATCATTAGTAGCAAGATCCTTACATCAATTACCACTTTAAATCCTCCGGGGCTGCTTTTTTAAATCTTTAAATAACACAGAACTTATAAAAAGATCTTTAAATACTTTTCTGAGCCACTTAATTAATCATTATACATTATTTCAGTCCTATATGTGCCTGGCTGGTTTTCTCAGGATACAGCCAGCATTATGACCAACTCTAGGCTGATTACGTTGTGGCTTCAGTGAGCCAGGCATTACTTGAACTAATTCCTGAGCTATTCCCAACATTTGTTGATGCAGGAGAAGATGAAAACTCATGACAAAATCAGTTATAACCCGAGAAAAAACTGTACCATTGTCTGCAGCATCACTGCAAAACACTTCCATCACCCTGGTTACCAAATGCAGAATTATTATAGGCACTGGCATTGCCAAAGTTACAAGTCCAAGTAGTACCAGCCACAATATATTTAGCCTAGAATAAACTAAATTGATGGCCAAACCCTGAGAATAACAGCCAGACATACATAGCTGGCTAATTAAATGGAATTTTATCATGACTCTCTCCATGCTCTATAGCAACAAAGGGGAGATTTTCAAATAGGAATTATTCCACCTCTCAAGTTTGTTGTTTCTCTTAAAGCCACACCTGCGGGAGTCAAATGATTGTATGATAATCTCAGTTTTTGAGTATAAAAAGTAAGTTTCTAGCCCTCACAATTGCAGAGGAAAGCTTGGAAACATGAACAGGGTGCCCCCCCTACAGATGCAGGAAACAGAAGACAAAAAGAACCCAAAGTGCATTTTTTAATCACGATTTTAAGCTGTTCTGGTATTTTCTTTTTGCATGCTTGACTTATTGTTTATTGAACATCAAGAGTTGGCTGCAAGATGCACCTTTGATCATCCCGCTCTAGACACTTCCAGGAGAGTCTGAGCAGACTCACGCTCTGCCAGCGCTGGCGCGACCAGACAAACAGCCACCAGGCAGTGAAAGGTCGCTCCCTCAGATTCCGTCAGACTGTGCTTGAGGATTGGCTGACGGATATAGGCATAGCGAGCGCTGGATGGTGATTGGCTGGCGATTGCCAGTGGCTGCTGTTGACTGGCTGATGGCAGAGATCCGTTGGAGGTTGGAAATCGACTGCCGGATGATGATTGGCTGGTGGGTGTCAGTGAGGGTCATTGTGTGATCACGGTGTAAAGGCCCTGGCCCGGCACGGCAGCTAGTGGGGGGGTTCCCCCGTTACCCCCCCCCGCCGCAATGCTGCTGGGCGCCTTCACGACGCTGCTGGGGGCGCTGCTGGTGCTGAGCCGCAGCCCGATGTTCTCCTGCCTGCTCACGGGCGGCCTCTACCTGGCGCTGCGGCTCTTCAGCCTGGAGCCGGTCTCCCTGCAGCGGGCCCAGCACATTGTGCAGCCCCGCGGCTCCGCCGCCCGCATCGCCCACCGCGGCGGCGGGCACGACGCGCCCGAGAACACGCTGGCGGCCATCAGACAGGTCAGCCACCGGGGAACCCCCCCCTCCCAAGTCCCCTTCCGGGGCTGCCCTCCCCCAGGGACCTCCGGGATGCCCCCCCTCGAGCCCCTCCCCCTGCTAGTACACCCCCACCTCCTCCTTACTGAGCCTGGTGCACCCCACCCTCTGCCTGCCCCCAGGAGTGATCCCCACCCCCAGAGGTATTGCTCCGTGGGGACCCCGACCTTTGGGAGAGCCCACCCCTTCCAGGAGTCACCAGGCACACCCAACTGACCCCGATGCCTCTGCCTTAATCTCTGGGACCCACCGGAGCCCCGTCCTTTTGGGTGCTAAGGGTTACTGTTCTTCACCCCCTGGACCATCTACTTTTCCTCTATCCTTGGCTTTCCTGCCCCCCCCCCCTTTCCTCCAAGAGCCGTACCTACCTGCCAGGGCCATGGTTCCCAAACTCTTTACTAACGCCACCCCCCAGCTGCATTTTGCCACCCACCCATACGTACATGCACCCTCTACCCTGGCACTGCAACCCTAATCCCAGCCTGGTTGGGGGGAGGCCCTGGGAGAGGAGGGGGTTGGAGAGTGAAGTGGTGGCAATTCCTGTCCCATGGGACTGGGCCCTGCTCCCCGGCTTGGTGACCTGGCACATAGGGTCACAGCGCCATTCAGGAGGAGCAGTGGACCAAATTTGAGTGAGTGGCATTGTGGCCTAGTGCCCCTCGTATTTGGCAGGGCAGTCAGCCAAACAGGAGTGGCACTGCCACTCCATGTACCAGGTTGCAATGCCCAGAGTGGGGAGCTGGGCCCAGTGTTGCATGACAGGAGCCCCCATTATGGGGTGAGTGCATAATGGGCTTATTCGCCAATCTCTTCCCTCACCTTCGTACTGGGCTGGGAGAAATGTATGTTTGCCTAGGTCTCTGTGACCCATCTGGAACTTTTCCGCAACTCACTTGGTGATGACCCACCCTTTGGGAATCACTGTTCTAGGGGTCCTCTCAGCTGGAGGTGCCTCCCAACTTGAAATAGTCACTGGTGGGGAGGGACAGACAATTATGGACAATATGACATTAACAGATGCAGGGCTATCCCAGCTGCTGCCAGGATGGTACCGGGGCAGGCTTTCTGCTACTCCCACAACTCCAATTTTGGGTCGTATTTGGAATAAATAGCTCTACTTCCATCCTCTGCTTTCAAAGCAGCAGCAAATTAAACTGGACCAAATTCCTGTCAGTTTCACTGCCTCCCTCAGAGGTCTGAATAATAGAAACTGAAAGAGTGGTCTGTTTTCACTTTGCTGTTCTTTGAGAAAGCTATGAGCAGCAGAAATAGGTATGTGGTAAATACTTTGTATTACTCTTTTTGCTTTTAAATCAGTTTGGCATAGTAGCCAACAGAATAATTCAACTTTTATTTTGATTTGGATGTGACAAAACATTCTAACAAAGAGATGCCAACAATTTTAATGGTAATTTTATAAAATTTATTAACCTGTTTGGTATAGAATACCTTCACTTATCAAATTATGAAAGGGAGGAAAGTGGTGGTGGTGGGCACATCTGATGTTCCTAAAACTCATGCTTTGGGGTTTCAGCCAGCAACCCCCCAGGGGTGAGGATGGGATTTTTCCCTCCCAGTGTATTCTGGGAGATTTATCTCCTCCTTCTGAAGCATCAGGGATGGACACTGGGCAGGATGGGCCAGGGCTCTGACCTGGCACTGAGTATTCTGTCTCTTTCAGCTGCATAGCTGGCTGGTTCTTGCTCAGATGCCCCAGGTCTAATTGATGGGCATATGTGGGATTAGAAAGGAATTTTCCACCAGGTCAAATCTGCAGTGACCTTGCAGTGTTTTTGCTTTCCTCTGCAACATGTGGGTCACTTGCTGAGATTATCTGGGTATACTTCATTTAATCATTTCTGTGCCACTGCAGTGGCCTCAAGCACTGATGCACCTCAGTCCCTCCTATCCTCAGCCTGTGGCACAGAATAGTTTAATCTCCTGTGGGTCTCATTTACTTGGTCTCATTTCCATTGCTGGATTTCATGCGTGGGTGCTGCTGGTGGCCTGTGATATACAGGTGGTCAGACTAGATGATCTAGTGGTTCCTTCTGGCCTTACACTGTCTGACTGACTATATTTTTGTTTTAAAATTTTAATAGCAAATTTTATTTATAGGAATATCTGCAGGGAATACACATCACCAGAAATCAAATCATAGCAGTTAAATTCCACAACAACCAACATTTCAGCACTTACTGTTATCCATTTTTAAAAACCATAAACAAATTGTTGCCTGGAATCAAGCGAAAAATTGCAGTTAAAGGTGTGATAAACAAATAAAAGACTACAAGCTTTACAGATGGGAGTGATTAGTGCAAACTAATCCACAAACCATAGGGATTAAGTAGAGCAGCTAAAACGAAACAGAGACAACAGGGGAGTTATTATACACATACTTGTGAATCATTAAGTGTAAATATAGTAACCATCTGTTGCCCAAGACAATCCGGAGCAACTTGGTACACGACAGAATGAATTTGGAAATTACAAGGTAGATGCTATTTACTATTCTAACGTCAGTGTTGTTCAGCTACTCAGGCTACACTTCTCCCCAGGGAGATAAAGGGAAGGAAATTCTGGAAATGTCAGTAGTCAAACTCTTCTTGCTAAATATCTCAAAACATCTCTGTGACTGAGCTACCATGTCCTGTAAATATAAGCCCAGCAACATTTAAGTGCTGAAAACTGGAGATGTGTACAAAAGGCATATCTTTCTGGGAATGGGGAAGAGAAGGGATGAGCAAAAGAAGGGAAGATGGACTAGTCGAGCGACAACTATGCATGCATTCCATCCTCTGTATTGTAAAATTCAGTCTTAGGGTGTCTTGGGCTAGTCGTTCTCTAACGCTTTAAGGGCTGTCCTAAGATTGGGCAAGTACTATAAAACAAAGAGATAAAACAGGATCATTCTAGATCAAGGGTATTCAAACTTTTCATCGTGTGGACCATCTTCCTGCTTAATCATAATCTTGCCTCGTCTCCTTGGTGGCTGTTGTATAAAAGTTGTATGTGTACAGTTAACATTAAGATCAAGGTAGCTCTCTGATTTTATGAACTTGCAAGTGTACAATAGAAACTGATCCCACTATCTCCCAGTATGGTGGAGAAGGGTACAAATTCCGATCACTTACCCGCAGGCGGCTAAAACTTGTAATCTAGTAGTCCATCTTGAAAACAGTGTCCCGGTTTTCTAGTTTTGATCTTGTCTCAAATTAAAATAATTTTTTTGCAGATATGATTATCTGAAGTCTCCATTCCTTCTTCTGTTTTGGACTACTGTGTTAGACTCTCACTTTTATTCTCTTGTTTTCATAAAATCAAGTGGGAACCAGGGAATGTTACTTTTGTCTTTGTTTTCATGTAAATCAGAATGCCCTTGCCACCACTATCTTGAAACTGAAATTATGTAATTTATTTCAAATTCAAGTAAAAATTACCAGCTGCTATAAAGCTTGTTCACAAAGTTGTTTTTTTCCTCCCAAAGAGGGAGAATGGGAGTTTCTTCCACTTTAATTTTACAATAGAAATGTCTAAGATCTCAAATACTGTATTGGATAAAGGGATTAATTCAGTCTAGATCACCAGAGAAAGAAATATTGTATGAAGTCTATATTTAAAATACCTGGTATTTGATGGACTAGGCATTTTCTTTCAGGGGAGAAAAAAAGCCACAGTGAGGGATCCTTTTCCTGTGCTGTTAATAACAATTGCCCCATGTCATGCATGGTGGAAAAGTAAGCTGCCAAAGTCTCTTCCATTACATGTCTTGGTTACTTGGCCCAAGATAACTGGTTTCCACCTTAACTCAGCCAAATTCCCACAAGTCTGGACTGCTTCCCAATTAAGATCCATTGCCCTGACTAATTTATCCTGATAAATTAGATAGGATAAATCTATTTACTGTGGCTAGGCCATGGGTAACCAGGACATCACCCGCTGGCTGTGGGGTAGAGATAGAGTTGAGTTCCTTCCCTTCACATGTACTTTTGCTCAGCAATTTACCATTTGGAGTATAGGACAATCTTCGTATTAGATCTATAAATACAGGACTCATAAGAATTTAGCTAAAGCCCACTGAGTTCTGTGGGCTGACAAATCTTAGAGAATATTAGTAGCCTGGCAACTGTATTAGAATACAAAGTAAGCATTGTAGCACCCATCTTTATATTTAAAAAGCTTTTGTCTTTCTTTTTTGTTTTAAAGGCCGCTGAGAATGGAGCCACAGGCGTGGAGCTGGACCTTGAATTCACTGCAGATGGCATTCCCATTCTAATGCATGATGATACAGTAGAAAGGACAACTGATGGGTCTGGGAGTTTACGTGATTTTACGTTTGAAGAAATTAGGAAGCTTAATCCATCTGCAAAACATAGACTATGGTAAATGATCAGCAACAGTCTACTAATACTTCTACTCATTTTTGAAAATGTTTCTACAGTACCAAAACATCCGTCATAAATAAAATTGATTTTGACCCATCCGTGACTTAAAAACCGCTTAAAACTTTCCGACATGCATGTGGTGCCCCTTGTTCTATGTTGGAGGCAGATCAGAATCTGTCTCCTTACCTCTTCTTGGAGTGGGAACCACGAAGCAGAACTGAGTGATTTTGATTTTAAGGATGAGATTCTCCAACATCTAATGCATAAGCAGCGTTAACCTCAACTTAATCTTGACCAAACGCTTTTTAGGACAGGGTTTGGTCTGAAAAACACTTCATATGTTGGGATTATTGCTACTTTTCAAAGCTTGCTGGGGTAGCTATTTCTAAAGTGAATTTTATTGACACATCTCTTAATTAGATTAGTTTATTTAAATCATCATGCGTATCTTTGTATGAATGGTGGGATGACTCATTTTATCTAAAACATAAGGGTTATACTGTCGGAAAGGAATTACTTGGAGTTCTAAGAAGGTCTCAGATAAGACCTTTGATCTTGACATCGGGCGTTAATTATCTCCATTCTCACAATATGTAGGCAAATAAATATATACACTTGCTGGAATATTTACAAGAATAAGTCTCCTAAAATGTTACTGTGAATGATCTATTTATTTTTTTTAAGAGGGAGCTCCATTAGGTTATACATTTGGTGTTTTTAATTTAATATACTCTACACCTTGGCACAGTTCAAATGGAATCCTTCCTTCCTCTTTGTTCTTGGCGTTCTCCTGGATTGGATGCATTCCACTGAACTCTTTATACCTTTCTGTAGGAGAGATTTCCGGGGTGAAAAAGTACCAACTTTGAAAGAAGCCGTTATGGAATGTATGCATTATAACCTCATAATCTACTTCGATGTCAAAGGCCATGCAAATCAGGTATTCTTGCTAAGAGTGCTTCTCTCACCATTTCATTGGATTGCCCCCATTGAAGTCTCTAGCACTACTCCCTTTAACTTCAGTGAGAGAGGTCTTGGGCCTGTTTTTGCAGAAAGTAAAGTTTGGTTTTATAAAACAGACAACTTTTTCATGCTTCATTCTTTCCATTCCATTGCACAAAGACGCTGACAACCATAATTAGAACGTGACTCACTGACATGTTGGGCTCTGGTAATGTCACAAGCATGCACTGAATCTAAGTGAATGAATAACTGGGTCCTCCCTGCCACCTATTTGTGTGGAAGAAGAGAAATCATGATGGGCTATCCTGCTTGTCTGTAGTTGTTAGCACCATGACATGGGGTACTTTTGGTAGGTAATGGTTTGCTTGTTCATAAACTGTATAGCTTTTCTCTGGCGTGATATATAGAAAAAATGTTTTCTTTCAAAACCAAACCACAGTTAATGCTGCAAATGTTTTATAGCAATAGACCTCGTCAGGGGTTATGTATCTCTTAGCTCTTAGTGCACTTCCTGGCTATTGAAAGCATTCTGCATGAGGCATGCACAGTATGATGAATACTGTACATCCTTTTATGCTGCAATCTATGAATGTTGCATAACAAACAACGTCTACAGCCCTTGAGCTGTAGACAAATTTAAATGCTGCTTTCCTCCTTCCCCTTTCTAATTCCAACCCCCCAAGGAAAAAAAAACACACTAAAGTGGGGTCTTTCTGTATCCTAATGAACTCTTTAAATTTTACCTATGACTACAATGTACATTCTATGTATTTATCTTTCTTTGACAGGCCGTTGATGCCCTAAAACTCCTCTATCTGGAATATCCTCGTTTGTACAACAGTAGCATTGTCTGCTCTTTCATACCAGAGATTGTCTATAAGGTAAAACTTCCTAAAGGCTTATTTTGATTTTTTAGTTTTATGTACACCACGTCACAATCACTGTAATATGATGAGTATACTCTTGTGGAGAAGTGTAACTCCAGAGTACATGGGGATCATCCTTAAGTAATTAAGAACACACGTAAAAGTAGGTGTCGAAATGAGAGGAGGACTGGGGTATTCGACTCTTAATCCTCATATACCCCCACTCACCATTGCAGCCTTGTCAGACCCTTCCATACTGATTAGATACATCTTGAATAACTCCCCCTTCTACCCCCCAGAATTACACTGATAAAGGTTCATTAGCTTAAAATTGACACTAAGTGATATTGACACTGAGGTGCCAAGGTATCTATTAACACATTACACCTGTGTCAGATTATTATGGAAGTTTAGAATACATTCAAATAAATGGTCTCCTAATTCCCATTATTTGTCAACCCCTTCCTCCATGTGCATGGTTCCCTTGCTCAGCTGTCTATTTCCCTTCCCTTCTCACCGTACAGAATCATAGGCATTCCTGAATTTGTTTCTCTAGTTTTGTCCTCCTCCTTTGAGTCCCTTTTGTTTCATCTTTTCCTACTTTCCTTGCTTCTTCCTTTGCTATCTCCTCTTGTCTTGTTTTCTCAGCTACTTCCCCTTCCCAATCCCTTGTTGTTTTACTGCCCTTCCATCCATTCTTCTGCTTCAAGCTCAGTGGTAAAGTGAAATTAACAACACACTTGAAGCAAGATACTAGTACTGCTTTGTGTTTTGTTCATTTCATTTTACTGCTTGCTTTGCAACAGAATGGGGTGGAGCTGAAATTAAACATGCCTGCACTCATGCATAAGTCCCTGGCTAAGAGATTGGTAACGATGGGGACCTGTGTGAAGTATGAGGGTCAGTGTCTTTTTTTTTTTTTATTAAGATTTTAGTAACTTTCTATTTGTATTAATACCTTATTAGAGTTAAAAATAGTTAATTCTAACTCATCATTTTCCATTTATGCTGTTTGTTATTTTGCAAGCTTCATTAAGCTTGGCTAGTGAAGATAGATTTGTTCACATACTAACTCCTGCACTAGCAGGATACTCCAATGTTTGGGATGTAAGCCCTGCAAGGGAATGTCCAGCTCTAAACATGCATTTCATATTTTATTTACATAGCATGAAAACACTTCTCTTGGGTCTTATAAAAAAAATCAGTGTTGGGCTTATGCTACTTAATAGCAATCAAGAGCAGAGCCTCAAGTTAAATAGCTGAAACTCAGTTTCCTCTGTTTACTTGTGAGGCCTCAGTTTAGGGTTGCAGGATTGCCCCGTAACTGTTGGTGACATCACAAGTTATTACCTGAAACAGGCTGTTTACTAAGGGTATGTCCACACTACCCGCCGGATCGGCGGGTAGCAATTGATCTATCGAGGATCGATTTATCGTGTCTAGACGAGACGCGATAAATCGATTCCTGAACGCGCTCCCCGTCGACTCCGGAACTCCACCAGGGCGAGAGGTGGAAGCGGAGTTGATGGGGGAGCCGCGGCTGTCGATCTCGCGCCGTGAGGACGGGAGGTAAGTCGATCTAAGATACGTTGACTTCAGCTACGCTATTCTCATAGCTGAAGTTGCATATCTTAGATCAATTTCCCCCCCCTTCCTCCCTCCCCCAGTGTAGACCAGGCCTAAGTGTAGGAGAAACTGCATTAATATAAACGCACTGGCAATTTTGAAATATTAAACTTCTTTCCATTAATGATTTGTGATATTAAGATAAAATTATTTATTAAGGCTTTGCATTTCATCTGTGTGTATAATAAAATAAATAAATGATACAATACAGACCAGTTAGAATTATATGGCAATCTGTAGGTCTTAGTCATTACAAAAGTTGAAGACACTAGGTTTCAGAAACTGCTCTTTGAAACTCTGTATTTGCTAGTGTTAAATTGGTATTTGCTGAAATGGTTTTCAATACAGTTCAGTCTATTTAAATTAAGCACAGCTTAGTCAGTGAGAACATACTGGGTCAAACAACCTTTAGAGAATTTACAAACTGGTCTAGATGAAGTAAACTGTCTAGCCTCCTAAATAGCACGCTAAGCTGTATTTATACAGAGACTGAAGTTGGTTGACTTGCTGATACTGACAAGTGTACATTAACTTCTAGCAAGCCAGAGTTTGAGACTAAGGACCCTACCTTACCTTCCTTGCACACCCATAACTCCCATTGACTTAAATGGGAGTCTTGTGTGCACAAGCAATGCAGGATTCAAGCCTTAACATAAGTGTCACTTATTCAATAGAGGGATTACCAAGGGAAACAATACAAGCTCTTACAATAAATAGTTTCAAAACCAGGTTAATCATCATCTTGGAGGAAAAGAACTCTGCTAGAACTGCAAATTCACAAACTAGTGCCTCTTATTCCTCCATCTTCAAATGTTCCTGTTTGCAAGTCCGTCTAATCTAGAGTGTAGCCCTGGCATTTTGGCATCATCTGCTAAGTACAACTTTCTCATTTTGGTCTTCCAGATGAGGCAATCTGACCGGAATGTTGTTACAGCATTAACACACAGGCCCTGGAGCCTTAGTCATTTTGGAGATGGGAAGCCTCGTTTTGATTGCTTTTGGAAGCACTATGGGTATATGATGATGGACATCATTATGGACTGGAGCCTGCACAACTTCTTGTGGTATCTGTGTGGGGTTTCAGCTTTCCTCATGCAGAAAAATTACATTTCACAGTAAGTGTTAAAGCATAAATTTTCAGGAGGAGCTAATGTATCCAGAGGTAATCATGTAATAAAATAGGGAGGAAGAGGTAAGGTGGGACCATGATTTAGAAGAGTATGATGTACACGAACACCAGAATCTCTAGTGAGTGTACTGTATGTTGTTTTAAACAGGTCTCTTATTCAATAATATATGCAATTTATTTTTTCATATTTATAATATCTGTGTTCCCCATTCATATTTTTACCCCCAGTGCTACACCTTAAGTTAAAACAAAGGAGGGAAATTTGTTGCTGTTGCCTGTTTGTAAAGGGATATTGTAGAAAGGTGGAATGCAGAGCAGGTAGTCAATAGGCAGACCGTGGGCCAAATGCAGACCTCCAGATGCTTTTGAACAAACACAGAAGTCTTATTTAAAATAACGATAATAAGTATTATTTTCTCTGGAGTCTGGACCTTGACTATACTTGGACCTAGAAATTTGGACCTTGACAAAAAAAAATTGACTACCCCTGCTGTGGAGAATGTATATTGTATAGGAAAGCTCTTTGTTTTAGCCTGTGTTCATGGTAGTCTTGGTCTTCTCCTTACAGTATCTTTGTTCTTTACAGAGAGTATGTGAGGCAGTGGTCTTCACGAGGAGTTCAAGTGGTTGGCTGGACAGTGAACACAGTTACAGAAAAAATGTACTATGAGACCATCCTTGAGACCAGCTACATCACAGACAGCTTGGTGGAGGACTGTGATCCTCACTATTAGACTTACACTGTATGGGACTCTGAAATATGCCATCCTGGTTCATGCAGATCTGAGTTCAGCACCAGAGGGTCCAAAGATGCAGAATGAGGCTGCATACATAAGTTGGGTTTTTTGCTTGTACTGTATGATGGGATCTTAAATCACAGCAAACCCCTCAGTCACACTACTAGGCTGAGCCACAATCAGCATTAGTGCTGGGGAGAAATGTTGCGTGCGTCTGCTATCAGAAATTGCTGTATGGTCTAAAAAGATCAGTTTTGATCAACTGATCTGGTAACTAGTATCAGTTTTGATCAACTGATCTGGTAACTAGTAGTTCAGACAGGTTGCTTATAAGTCAACGGTTTCTTTACTTGATTTAACCCTTGATTTTAAGTCATCAGCAGCTTTTGAATGCCTAATTTTAAACTGTACATTAAACAATCTGCTCCTCAAATAGTAGTGTGGTGTACCTCTACCACAATGTAGAGAGCGGATGGTAGGTGTATTCCCATACCATAACTTTGAATACGATATGGTCAGTTAATATTAGAGAGTAAATATACTTCACTGCTCCAGGCTGGAAAGGATGGATATTCTGTATTCTTACAGTATGGAGAAAGACTATAGCAGTTTCTGGTTTGGGCAAATACTGCACTAAAACCTTGATGGCTGGTGGGTAAACTTGAATGTCTCCTTTTACTTCAGTCTTAAACCTGACTTTAAAAAGGGGTGAGGGGGGTTAGAAAGGTTCTTCCACCTGATGATACTGTAGCTGAATCATTCTTCATAAACAGAGGCTATGGAGCTGCTGTTAGCCAGAGGCTAAGCAGTAGCTGAAACACTTTTTTGTTGCTGCTGCTGCTGCTAAATTGTTTGCACAGCTAAATGGATAGGAGGGCTCTGTGACAGGGTTCTCTCACCACTCTTGGCACCACCTCCTGGTCATCCTGGGGATTAGCTCTACCATGTGCCGCACCCTCCTCAGCAGTCTCTCGACCCATCTTCTTCTCTCAGCCTGCAGCATCTGTCTCTCGGAGTAGCAGCTTCTGGTTTGTGGCTTGGCCCTCCGGCCAGGTCACTAAGTTCCTCTCTTTCCAGGGAAATCACAGTCCTTCCAGACCAGCTGTCTGTCTGATGTCTCCAACGTCCTGTGTCACTACCTGGTGGCTGGTAGGGGAACCCAGGCTCGCCCGCTACACTGGGTTCCAGCCCAGGGTCCCTATAACGTGCAGCCAAGGCCTGTACTGTCCTATCCCTTGATACTGTTTCCCTGGGCTTCTTCCTACAACCTTTCTCCTCACAGAAATACTACAGACTACCTCCCTGCAGCCCCTTCTACTCTCAGCTCCTGGGCTTTATAGAGGCCCCTCCTGTTCCTATCCAGCTGGGCCTGGTTTAATCAACACCTGCGCCTTAGCTCCTCCTACAGGTGTAGCCTGGGGAGTTAATTGGCCTGCCTGGCCATCTTAACCCCTTCCAATCCTGTGTGGGGTGGACATGGCATCACATACCCTGTTCCTCAAGCCTACAACCCACAGGGCTGTAGTGGCTTCCTGCCCTGCATTTCCCTGAGCTGTGCCTGCAGATCGTCCCTCTCTTGTTCTGCCTCCGCCACCAGGAGACGCAAATTATGCTGGTCCTCCATGGCCTCCCGAAACTTTTCCTTTTGGAACTCCGTATCTTCTTCAGCTATTCACAGGGCTTGCTCTGCTGCTGCTAGCTTCTCCTAGAGCTCCCTCACTTGCCTCCACAGGATCCCTCAGGGTTTGTGTTCCCACCATAGCTTGTTCTGCTTCTGTGTTGGTTCTGATGTCGGTGTGGGCTCTCTCCACCCCAGTCATCTGTTACCTCCTTACTACCTCCTACTGGGTGTGTGGGTCCATAGTGATTGCCGCTGTGTCTATCCTGACAGTTTCCACCATGCTCTGGTCCCCGGACACCCCCCTTTGTTTTCTATGTCACTGGAGTCCATGACTTCCCCTTGCTATCCCATCCTTTCTGAAGAGGGTAGTGCCTCCTTATGGCCAACCTCACAGCACCCAAAGCAAACTCTTTGCCTTGTGTTAGCAGTAGTCTTCCAATTGACCTTCTTTTGTCCAGCCCCTTCTCCTGGGCTAGCCTTCACTTCATAGCTCATATATGGGCATCCCTTCTGTAGCCAGGCAAAACATGCCCCTCCTTTTCCTGTTGTCCACACAGGTAGGACTCTTTTGGGCTTTGTTTTCCTGCCTTCTGAGTAAGGCTTCCTGTCCCTGTACAGGTACGGGTACTCTCTTTTTAGGTATCACCTTCATCCGTAGGCATAACACTGCTTTGGCTGGCTCCTGGCCCTGGTACCTCCCTTCCAATCTTATTCCCTGCAGCCTCTACTAATTTCTTCCCACAGGAGTTTGAACAAATACAGCTGCTGTTCAGCTAGCTGTCAGATAGTCTTGCAGGTACCAATGCGCCTCCCACTGCCTCTGTTGGTTCTCCAGCACTTGCCTCAGCGGGATCTGGATCCGTCCCTGCTGTTTGTCAGTCACCTTCTGCAGGGGTAGTGACTCTAGAGTTCAGCCTGGGAGGTTACAAGCGCTCTCTGTAAAAAAGGCTTCTGCATACTGTGGCTCTATTGTCTCTTCCTGTTTTTCTGCTATGGCTCTCCTTGTATGGGGGTGAACACCTTATGCATTCCTTTACAGTCCGCTACAGTATCTCAACCTCCGCTTGTATCTGGGTCAGTTGTTGCACAGTCTTCCACACAGGGCCTTGTAGTGGGGCGATCCTTTGCCTGGCCACTTGTCACTTGTGATGGAGTTCCTTCACCGCTCGTGGCCATTCTGGGGATTAGTTCTGCCAGGTGCTGCGTCCTCCTTAGTGCTCTTTCTACCCGTCTTCTCTCAGTCTGTAGCCTCTCTCGCTCTCGGAGTGGCAGCTTCCAGTTTGTGGCTTGGCCCTCCAGCCAGGTCGCTAAGTTCCTCCCCTTCTGTAGAAATCGCAGTTCTTCTGGACCAGCTGTCCAGCTGACAGCTCCAATGCCATGTGGCTGGTAGGGGAACCCAAGCCTGCCCTCTACACTGGGTTCCAGCCTAGGGACCCTATAACATGCAGCCAAGCCCTTGCTGCTGTTTCCATGGGCTTCTTCCTACTTATCTGGGTTCACACTTCTGTAAAAATCAAAGTGGTTTAGACTTGTAATAAACAAGTCGGATAGTTCAGGGCTAGTTTTATAGTATGGCAGGTATGCATCATGTATTATGAGTAGCATCCATAAGAGTAGGTTTGATACCTTTCCTAATGGATCAAGATCTACGTTAACATTGTTCTTATTATGAATACCACTAAATGATCAAACTGTTGTAGCTGTACCCTGTGTGGAACCTGTAGCTAGAGGAGAGAAGTCCTGAATGGCACAGCTCTGCAAGGAAGCATGTGTGGGGATAGAACTGCTGTAAAATAAGGGTGGTCTGGTTTAAATTAGAGAGAGCACAGTGAAAATTAACCAAGTGTCAATTTTATACCTTACCTCCAGAACAAAATGTCACTTCCATGTCATTTAAAAGTAGAGAGACTTAAAACCAGTTGTTTACCTGCTGTTGTTGGTGACCATTGAGATGTAGCCGAACATGCTAACTTTTAACCAATAGATGTGTAAGTATGTATTTTCAGATAAAAAGGGTAATCGCATGCTTTAGCATGCAGGCTAACCTCTTGCATTAGAGCTCCACCTCCCTGTCAGCTCAGATACAGCACTGCACAAGTGGCTAGTCACTTTCTTGAGACTCTGGTGGTGGGAATTGAGTAGCATTCCCTGTCAAAGCTAGAATAGCGAACTAAGAGGATCAACTGATCAATTCACTCTGTTTTGTATGTAAATGATGCCTGATACTCATATGCTACATGTCACTGTTGGGTGAAATCACTTTCTTCATAGGCTATAGCATATCTCATATGACCAATCAGGGATTAAAATCTACCTCAATAAATTAGGTAAAGTCAGTGTTTTGTGCCCAATAATTAATTGTGTAAACAGTTCTATAGCATCACTTGACTCAAATGAAATCTGCATGTAATGTAGGAACTAACAAGTTGATTAAAGCAGTGGGTCTCAAACTTTTTTACTGGCGACCCCTTTCACATCGCAAGCCTCTGAGTGCGACCCCCCCCTAATAAGTTAAATACACTGTTTAATATATTTAACACCATTTATAAATGCTGGAGGCAAGCGGGGTTTGGGGTGGAGGTTGACAGCTCGTGACCCCCTCACATAATGACCTTGCGACTCCCTGAGGGGTCCCGACCCCCAGTTTGAGAACCCCTGGATTAAAGGAAGGATAGACTCATATGTGGGCATTCTAGCAGCAGAAAATAGTGACTAATTGTGTACTGTATCTGTGGTAGGGGAATAGATTTAAAACACAGGTCCCTGCTGAGGAACATGTATGAACTGATAAAGGTTGCTTATTTTCAAGAGTTACTCTTTCTCAGCCTTACCAGCCTGTCTTCAGCCCAGTCCTTGTTCAAACCAGCCATTGCACAATGAATCAAAGGCTGAAGTGGTAAGATATCTCCTGGAGAGTAGCATGACTGGTAACAGTATAGACATGTATGCGCTGAATCCATTTTTAATAAAATACTCTCTTCAAGTAACAGACAGTTTGTCCTCTTGTGTCTTTCATTCAGAGGTCTGTAGAAAACTAATGTTAAGCAGAAAGCTTCCTTTCCCCTATCCAAGTTACTAACACATAGATACTTCTAAATGGATTCTGTTGTAACACTTGCCTCCTCACTAACTACTCCTAGACTGAGACTAAAGAATCTGTACTAATCTGATCATTGTAAAGTGAGTTGATATGAGCTATTTCATCTGGTAGCTGTCCTTGCACTACTTTCTAATTAAAAGTCATTGAGCTGAATGGCAGTAAGTGGAAAAAGACTAGTCTTCTTTTCTTCTGCCATTATAAACAATGATCTTCCAAATATAGCTTGCTCCACTTAAGGTTGTCTGATCCTTTCCTCCTGAAGAAGTATTTTGAAACGCTGCCTATCTATGCCATTACTGTAGTGGACAAGATCATTCTTCTTACAGAAGCTGTACTTCAGGTAAGAAGTTGATGACAGCAGATAATTTGTATGACAGTCTCTTAACAGAGCAGTACCCTGGCAGAGTGGAGTTGAGCATCTTTTGGTAAATGGACCTGTGCCCATATGAGCAAGACGTACAGTGGAATGAAAATAGTTCTTTCCCTTAAAGCTTCTTAAACTTTGATCAAGTAAAGCATCCGTAGGCCTGCTACTGTGAAGTTATCTTAAATGGGGC